ATCACCCCCGACTTTGTTCGCATCGTTCCAAATACCAACAATGGCCTTATAGCTCGCTTTACACCGATGAGGAGCTGACTAACCCCGTATAGAGGATACTTGCTACTGTACCCAACACGACAACAACAAACCATAATACTTTATGGCCAGAAAGTTGTGTCGAGCTAAACGTCAACAGATTCAATAGACACGTGTCCAAATGCTCAGGTACACTCAGCACACAGACAGTGGCTTATTTATTCGAGTTAAGGCGGTTTTTCAGCCTGACACGGCACACAAACGTCGACAACTCAACTCCACGGGCGAATTCATGTGTGTGCCAATATTGCGAGGCCTGTTGGCCTTTTGCTCTAGCTAACTTAAACTCGCGACTGACCACAAATTGAATGAGTCATAGTAACCTAGCTTGCGAGTAACGACATGGTTGAACAGTGAAAAAATACCCAGAACTATTCGAAAGACGGGGACATTTAACACACACCCAGAAACACGTCCAAATAATGTATGGACAAGGATCGGAGGCATGGCAAGCACTGCACTTCGTATTATTTGAACACGTGTATTTGATAGATTTACAAATCGGCCTTACTAAGTCACCTATCGGTGAAGACTGTCAAAAAAGCCCTAACCGCTCATAGTGATGAAAATAAGTTAGCGGCACCCGTGTGTTGAGCGTTGCTTAATGGGCTAATACGTCAACGAGCACATAAGTATCGAACAAGTTCGACAGAAATCGCCATCGTGATAGCTACGATGTTATTTTCCATATATTTTGTAGTCTATAATTGATTATATGGCATTCTAACTGTTACGAAAGTATCCAAGTTTGGTGAGTGAACACGCGTTAACATAAGGCCTTCTAGGAAACCATTATGACAAAATGAGTTAGTTGTGAAAACTTTAGTTTTCGAGAGGCAAAGCCAGCGAAAAAAAATTATCACAAAGCTTTCATTCAAATACTCAAAGTTTACCCTTTGCCTTACCGATACTCGCTGTCTACCAGAACTGTCACTGAGTCACCTTAGAGCCTCAAGCTTCTCATGCCTCTTCTGCACTCAGGTGCTAATTCCAGCGGGAATTGCCGTCTCGTGCAGGAAGGTCAAGACAGCATTGTCGGTACATCATTGCCGGGCAAAAGAATAACGACACTTTTAGATTTCTCAACAGCCTACACGTGAATTATTAGACAACTTGTGACAGTGTTTAGACAAAAACGGAACTGTTTTTTTCTTTTTTGCAAAGCCGGCCTGTAAGTAGTACGGAAAAAACCTTAGGGCATGAGATTTGTAGTCGAAGGCCCGAAGGTTTGTATTAGCCTATAGTATAAGAATCGATATGTACAGCAGTCTCAGTTGAAGCTAACCAGAAATGCTAAATGAGTTCGAAGATCTCAATTTTCGAAATAAGCAATCTAAAACCTTACTCATTTTTGAGTATTGTTTAAATGGGTGGCTAAAGGATATATGCCCTGAAAGCGAAAAGGCCCGGCAAGGCCAATTGGTGTGGTATACATAAAACATACTGAACATGCAGCAGTTAAAAGGTGTTAGGACAGCTGTTCAAAGTGGCTTGGAATTTGTGAGCGGTATCGAACTATTCCGGCATTTCACAATAATACGTATACCCATAAGGGATTCAACACAGACATGATTTGACAAATAATATTAATGTTATCAAAGATAATAATTGACGAACGATCACACCTGGAGATACAAAACACTTCTGGCTGAAATCTCAATATTGTTAGTTTGCAATATATTTGAACGAATACATATCAACAGGCTACGTACGTTTAATTGATCTATACATAACGTAAACGACGAGTTTTAAAGATATCTACCGCGTATATGCATATTTCCTAATATTCCTGTTTAAATGGCTTCGAAGCAGTGATCTCCTTGCGTTCGAAATTCTTCTTTTGCGACATTATCCCGGCAAACACAATAAATATATGACAACAGGTCTAGTCAACCTAGTGATTCTATTGAGAACACAATTAGGTGCACTTCCTGTGTAAGTGATATACATTACACACCGTCTACAATGAATTCATGGCTATCTGTCAACTTCGAGTGTAATAACAAAATTATGTTTCAAAAAAGAACAAGATGAAAAACAATTACTCATATATGGTGGTTTTTATCTTACGCCATGGCTAGCGCAGAACACCTATGAGACATGCCTATTCTTAGAAGCACTTCGCAGCTACCAAGCGCGCAATTTAAACATAGTTTTCTCGCCTTATGAAGACAGACCTCGTGCTTCATAAACAAATGCAACAGAGTAGCCCGTGACTAACGCTATGAAATCGATAACATTGTTAGCAAATGAAAGCTACCATATTTTTCCAAAGGATGCACTTTCTGGAACGGTAGGATTATAAGCTTGCATTGTGCAAAACTGATCGAAAGTAGCCAATATTTAGAAAATGGTGCTTCTCCTCTTTTTTTTTTCCTAAGGAGCAAGCTTGTTTACCCAAGATCATTAGCTGATTTTTCACGGGCCCAAAGATTCAGCCACAACTCTTGCCCACCTGCTGTGCCGCATGCTTGCAGTGGTGAATATATATATATATATATATATACATCACTATATATAAAGCACAATATAGTTATGTATATATAGCTATATAGAGCATAGGCTTTATGTACAAAGTCTATGCTCTATATAGATATTGGCTGAAAGCTTATGACGATCAGTATTCACTCATGTACAGCCTGCTGTTAGCGTTCCATCGATTTATGTTATAATCTGTAAGTGAGCTAGAGAATACGGACGGGCTTACCTTGTACTCTCAACCGATGGCACCCATAGCTTTATGTTCTACATGTAATACAATATTTAATGAAAAAGCATTCATCTCGCGTCGCCATGTTCTTGCATTGGCTGAGTAAAAATTTGATACACGAACTAAACGACTGCCAGACCTAAAAAATCAGGAGCTTTAGAAGTAGGTAAAAGTAGAAGCAGGTCTTTTTTTCGTGGGGTTTCCACTAAAACAACTGACGCCTGACCGCTAAGTCTATGTAAGCGAAATTTTACCCACGGGTTTCAACCGGCAACCGATTATTCAATATCTTTTTATTTGCTTACTTCTAGAAAGGGCGAAATTTGAACTGAACTTGAAACACGCCGCACTACCGGCTAGTACAGAGCCTCTCCCCGAACAGTATACAACGAGCAGGTCACGTTTCTAGTTTTAGTAATATGTTTATCAAAGCTGGTTCATTCGCCTTTTGCTGATTATAATTCAACACTGCATATTATTTATTGGGGTTACAAACTTTCGGTTATATATAGCTTAAAAATATAGTGGGTAACAAATATGAACCTAACGAACCGTCGCTGATCAAGAGCAACGCTCGTCAAACACTTCTCAAGCTTCTCCAGGGCCAAACAGTATCCCGTGCAAAGTATGGGCGTTGTCAAGAGCCGATTATTCCAACTAGCCTCAAACATTACAGGGGCATACATTAACGGAAGGCTGCTATTCAGTCCGCATTTGCTGATCTAGACCATGAATAAGTAAAACGTTCGTATTACTTATGTTTTGTTCATAATGGAACTTGTTTATAAACGTTGCATTCTACCATTAGCTCGGAACGACAATGCGTGCGCGAACAAATCACCTGAAATCTCTCCGAGCGATGTTTTTCCGAGCGATGTTTTTCCGAGCGAAAAATTTGGTCATGGTTAGCTATAGGTTAAACTGTCTACTAATTTTGCAAACAATGTCCCTAATAATATTACAGATATTAGCATTTTTTCTCGAAACATAGAACCATGAAAATACTGCATGGAAAATTATAGGAAGTCGTGTTTTGCAACATCAGCTGACTTAAGTTGAAGTAAACAATATGCAACACTACTAAGTGACCATTCAAGTTTTATTTCTTCGATTTCAAATTAGCGCTTCCAACAATCCACAGCACAAGATTATGTTATTGGTTACTAAATCAATGAGGTACGAGCAAGTAAGTTGAATCATTCACAATGATCTAGTCGCAGCAATAGTCGTCATAACGTTCGTAACACATCGTCATCGAAACAGTCTTTATAGAAAACTACGATACTTAACTTGAATTATAAAATCGGTACCGGTACTTTTTACACGATAAGGTTCCTCTCATAAGTAATTTTTAGTTCGGGTGTGGTATCGTGCACGTGCACATACGCGTATACATGAGCTAAATTTGGAGTGAGTGTTTCTTGAACAAATATTCCACTATGTTATTCATCAAATCTTCATAAAAATTGTGAGCCACATACTGGTCCCTACACAAATCATTATCTGAGACCTTCTTCAATGATCATACGCACTGCTAAAATATGAAATTCTCTACGCAGCCAGTTGGTCTAGGTAGACACACTGTGGCGGTGCAAATTAGGTCTGAAGCATTTACGACACTATAAAGGGCAACATCATTCGACTTCGCTCCGTTGAGACGAAGTATCTGAACGAATAGATAAGATACAACAAATCAAGAAGAAAGCGGTAGACACGACAAGGAGTGGTCGAGGGCAAAGGTACTGCGTTTGACTGAGCGCTCATAATAGTGTCCACACAGAGTCAACTCGACTCAAAACACATCGTCCGTTTTTTCAATCAACTTTCTTCTTGTACATCTGTTAATAGAGCTGTTACAGTTTACATCAAGTATGCTGTAGGCGTCAGCGGGACCTGTCTCACACAGAAACGAGCCCGTTTCAACGATATGGCCATTCGGAACACAATTCAAACGACGAAAAAGTTTATCTGCGTAAGAATGCAGAAAGTTACTAACTCCTAACAGAATATCGAGCTCTTTCTATACAGGAATTTGTTGTACGGTTTCTTAAGTAAGTGGGGATTCAAGCACACCAACTTGATCAGGATATACATACAGAGAACCTATTGCTATCATGCTAAACTCGGTCAGGTGCAGAGCAGATATTTCCGACTTGGCCGAAAACTATTCCGGAAAAATTACTCACATATGGAAAGCGTCGCAACAAATTACCTCCTTGCAGCACTACATGGCATCCTGTTAGAGTACAGGGTTGGTAGCGTTCAATCAATACCCACTAACAGAATATTTAACGGCACGTCCAGCGAAGTCAAGTAGATCGAATCTGCTAAGGGCAGAGTATGCCCTTGTAATCCACATCCGTATTTGATACGTTTTCAGTTTGATCTGGGCGTTGCGTGCATTATTTCCTTTTCTAAACCCTTGAAATTTCGATTTGCAGACCAAGACTTGTTTGGACGATTAGGCCACGAGACGTGGGAGCACTCAAAATCGCCTTTCATTACTAATGGTCGCGCCTTTGCCTGTAATGAATTTCATTTCGTAAAATAAGCCCATTCAGCTTCAGTCGAGGTAGCTCTTTGATGCAAGATTCACTTATCCCATTGAAAAAGTGCCTCCTAACCCATCAATAGACACGTGTTCCTTTTTCTCAAATATTTACCGGGACTTCAAAAAGGATCTTGTAGAAATATATACATATATAAAGATACAATGATGAATATAGTGAAGATCATTTTGCGACCTCAATTACGTTGAAATGGCGCCCAGGTACGTGCCATACTGATCCTTTTTGTAGCCTCTAGCCGCCTTGTGCTCAATTTGCACACGCTTAAAATGGCCATCAAGTCGTTAAGTGTTCTATGTACTCTACAACGCAAAGTATTCAAGCCTTGCATTCGACAAATGGTCAAAAAGCCCGCAATCAGAGATTTCGTTCGTCATTAAATAGATGCTTGTTACAGCAACTGTTATTAACAAATATAAAGATATCATTTCGTAGAGAGCAAAAAACCTTTTATTATTATTATTATTACCAAAAATTCGAAGGTTCAAAACTAGTTAATTTGACGGCTAGTTAACACTTGATCGAGCCAATTAAGCACAACGAAACTCATTACGCCCGCGAAACTACCACGTGTTTGCGATAATTCTGTAGTTGCAGCGACAGCAACAGTGGGGTGGTTAAGAATGCAGAACAGCTAGCCTAAACTCCAATTTCCATCCGCAGTAGAGTCATTGTTATTATCAAAAGGACGGTGACAATTAACATTCTTGACATGGCTGGCCACTGCTCAGGCACATGTTGAACACCGTGTCCTGCAAGGCCGCAGCGGCACGTATTTAATTTAAATCAGTCATTTTTGTTGAAATATCCTGGCCGCGGGCGGACAACAAGGGTAAGACCTAGCTAGTAATGAGCATTTCACACTTGGTAATAGCTTGATGACCTAAGCTGAGTCAAGGGGAGGTCCGAACTTGGGAAGTGGTTGAGTCAAAGCCGACTGGCCGGTGGGCTTTTGATTTGACAGAATATTTTTCCCCGATGGAAATTAATAAGCGTATAAAACTGTTTTAATTCTACTAGTTTAATTTATTTACAAGTGCATATGTCTAGTCCTCGTTTAGATAAAAAAAAATCTAAGAGTGATGTCTTCCTTATTATTTTTACATATATATACATATATAATATTAGCTATCTATCTGGTACTCGACTCATCGAAATAACTAATGGTATCATAACACTTCGTGTGCTCTCGAAGTGAATTGAAAACTTTCGCCTGTTAAAACTGAGTAGCCTATGAATGTTCGTGAAGGTTTAAAATATACTGTCAAATAATGAACCGTTCTGTCCAGCCGAACGACCTAATACGGTAATATCATAATTTTATCTTCCACAGAAAATACAATTACTGTTTGAATGATTCCCGCCAATTTAGGCTATTTTTATTCTTTCTGCTCAAAGTATTTAATAGCATTGTCTTGTGCTGGAATTCCTACTGAATCATGGTCATTATTATTATTCTGCAAAGTATTATTATTAAATAAGGATAGCTACTATAAATAATGCTTTTAATACCTTTATATACTCTTCCAGATCTTGGGATGTGTAAACTTCTGTTGTCACAGAGAAATGAATAAATGACATGAATAAAATAAGAACAAAAAAAAACGATACCAATCGATGCAAATTCCAATGCGAAATTTTTACTTACTAAATACCAATGGAAACAATCTGTAAGATTATGTATAGTATAAGGATATACATATGGAGAATATGTAACTACTTAAGACAGTTTGTCCTGAATACACAACATTAACAGTTGATCAACACCATCATATAGTGCTATACGTTTATTACTAATATTATGCCTATGGATACTCTGTGCACTTGTCATCTTAACTATATGTGACATCGTCACTTTTATTATTATTGCTTGTTGTACCGGTTTCCCCCTTTACCTCCATCACCAAAACCGCTTCTGAAGACAGCGAAAGTACATTCCACCTACCTAAGCAGCTTAGCACCGCTAGTTGATTGTAATGTTAAACCGCATCTTGATATAACCCACCCGTTAATGAGTCTTCCCCCTATTTTCTTTCGTGGAACAGCTTAATCGGTCACATGACCCGCTTGCCTCTACCGCTCCGCATAGCGTCCAGTCACGCTTTGCTATATTTTGCCATAGCTATGTCCCGTTGCTGTTTATGTTGTTTCTTTTTCGGAGAGCGAAGTATCAGCGTATCTACCCATTTAGTCGCACAGTCATATCCATAGCCGTACGTGCACAGCCGTACATTATCTCTCCTTTCGTTTGTCATCGATAGTGACCAGCAGAAAGCACAAAAGCAGGACTAGCAATAATGTCGAAATCAACAAAGGCAAACGAGGCGCTATTCACAGTAGTGTCGCCTGCAGTCGCGACAAGCGTTTACAGACGGACCGTTGCTTGTTCGGCCCCACGAACGATCTCATGTTCGTGACCTACCATTGTTTTCCTCCCTTGCCCTTGCACCTCTAACTGTTCCGCTATTCCACTAGCCAGAACACTGTGACATGCTTTTACCATGGCGGCATCTTCATCCCGGACCACAGTAACTATAGCCTATTTACAATTCTACCTAGGTTTGGACCTATTTGGTGCTGGGGCTAAGCGCTTCAAGTAACTAGCCTTCTGAACAAATTCTGTCTAATGTCAACCTCGAACCTACATATACATCCTCCCATACATCCCTAAGATGCGCTGTTAGCCATATGGTTACTGAATCATTACATTATTAATACCTTATTAATTATATCCGCTTGACTACTACACCACAGCCCTCTCGTCTGCTACTGGACTAAGCGGCGTTTATCAAGCGCAACAACTAGATGCAACAACTAGCGCAAACGAAAGCAAAAAAAGATCAAAACAACAAAAAACGATCACTATTCGGTTTCTTGGCCAGTTCGATTTTTTGTGCCGGCGATAGCGAGTTCGCTATTTTTATTGCAAATGGTTTTTAGTAATAGCAAACTATAGCTAGTTTGCTGATACTACCGCTCATGTTTATTTCCGTTCTCGCTCGGCCGATCTACTACAGCATTAACTAAGGCCCATTTGATTGCGCACTATGTTGTCAAAAACGGCAAGGTCGTGTCAGCAAGGTTAGCGGCTGGCCGAACGGACGCGCGTAGGGAGTAGTTCGGCGCCGACCGAGCGGCAAAATCGCCGGAGACGACGAAGGAATTGTGTTTGTTCTTACGGCTGCTCTTTGTTTTGCTCGCGTCGGTGTTGAGTTCGCCGATTGAACTTCCCGTGCTCAAGCAACCGCAACGGTCGACTATTGCCAGTTCTACGTTTTGCTATCCAATAGCAATTGTAACAGCCACTTTATCGAGATCGGCAGCGTAGCGATGATGGCGACGGCAATGGCGGTTGTCGTAGTGATGTTAATAAATAGACACTGAAGAAGCTGCGCTTCAGATAACTGGTTCATGGGATTTTGGGCGTTTGGCCCCTTTAGAGCAAGTTACGGAGTAACAATATTTTTGGTTCTGTGCCTCTCTCTGTGTCTATAAGGGGTAACAGCTACAAAGGAGTCATCGCACTTTATCTGGAACCGGACAGGTGTATAACAGCAACTGTTCAGTCTAAACGCTGCACCATCATCAATTAATAATGATATGAATAAATAGTAGCGAAGAAAAGACAACAGATCTTCACAGACGGCTTTTAGCGTCTCTGCTGTAGTACCCGTATCCAACGTAAAAAACAATTATATTCTTTTTGTTTTTTTTTTAAACATAAAGATATGAAATTTCGCGGAAACGTTAGTAATATTAGGGTAAGCGGATTCGTACTGGCCTGAAGTTACACGACACACAGAATTCAATTGCTTTGGGCGATCAGACCGCATTGCGCAGACTCAACGCCACTGCTCGCCTTGCTAACCAGATGATCGCCAACCAGCCTGATCTTAACTCCCGTTTTTCCCCGTATCTTCTCCCAGATTTCAGTTACCCGTAGGCATGGCTGACTTATGTGACACCCATTTACGCCGTTACGGCCGCCACACACGAGCTTTCGAAGAGCAAAACTGTGGAGGAAACATCGCAATCCATGGGAAATCATAAATACGACACAGAAAGACATATCCGCATAAAGACGTAAAAATGCTATCATTGACGGATATAATCTTAGTCTGAATATCAATACTACTGCCCTTAATTATTATTACCTCATTAAAACTGGTTTAACATAGCAGTAATATGCATACCTATTTTGCACTCATGCCCAAGCACGCTTAGCCACTGATCTTACACGGTTAGGCAAAATATTTCGTTATCAAACTGAAATTCGGTTACAGACGAATGGTTAGATACTACATGTATTAGCTCATCGTATAATACAACTTCCGAACGCTCCTACCCTGCCCCCCATGCGTCTTCTCCGGGTGAGCTGCAAATACTAACCTAAATAGGTTCGTGTTTTTTTGTTTGCCCACAAAGATAGGGTAAATAAAACGTCTGTTGTCTACGGTCGTTATATAGTCCCTGGCCTGCATTAGCTCGACATAGCAAAGCAAGCCAAAAGCACTGTCTTTTTGTATACATAAACTACCTAACGCTCGAGGACGCTATTGGAACACAGAGCTCAAGATTTCACCTGCTCTGCCGCACCCGCTTAACGACAATGGCCTTCAGCTACGGCGATGCTTTCGGTGTATCGGCCGTTTTAAAATATAGATGTATGTATTTAGCAACAGCTAAAAATTGATACCGGTGCAACTTACGGCTACATAGTGTTTACTGATCTGTATCGCCGTCTATTATCTCATTTAAAAATAGATCCCCTATGGTCAACAGTTACGATTCCGCGAAAAAACTGCTTCTACTAACAGAAACGCACAACGTCTCTGTTCAGAATGGGATCAGCAACCGAAAAATGGGACGTGGCAAGTAAACTAATTTTAAATTCTATTACCATTGTTCGTCGCACGAATGCATGAAAGCTGACACAGCAGCGGGTATTCGGCAGAATTTAGAAAAAAATCGAAGAGAACGGTTTAGCAGCTAGCTGTGCAGTTTTACATGCGAGGGTATGCCAATATAAGGACTATCAAAACAAATTCGGGTCGCATTAATAACAGCAGGATACTCTTTGCATGGCCTTTTAAATACTTTGAAATCTAGGTTGATAATCATACAAAATTTTTCGCAAGATTTTTAATTGTACCAAAACACCTCTATGTATTTAGTGCATGCTTTTTTATATTGTTTCCACTCAAGGCTTCTGCATCTAATTAGCCATAAGTGTGCTATCTGACATGTATCTATGCGGCCACTTATACATGGTGTTTTTCATTTAGCCACACGACTGAATCAGTCTACGACATAAGTTGTAGTGCTGGAATAAGGGTAAAATTGGTGTACGGGATATACTATTTGATGACCACTCGAAAAGACGTCGACAGAATAAAAAAAAAACAACTCAATGCACGAGATGTAGTTTTCTACTAGTTTCTCTAGCCTTGACGCACATAATGTCACACAAGGGTATGAACGAACGAAACGTTCGAAGACACATACGAATGGAACGACAACAACTCGATAACTGTACATGCACAAGCAGCACGTCTGCACGGAGATGCATAGACTCACATATGTAAACGTATGCCGTCTTCACAAAATTCGTGGAGGTTCGCTCCGGTTAAGCCCCGAGGGCCCGATCTGCTTTATATTTGTTAAACAGATCGACTATATTGACCTATCGACGGTTTTGATCTTCCATTTACTATCTTTTGACCCTGTGAATTTTCTTTGTCGAATAAATGTTATAACATTGTTTTGTCAGATTGGCAAAAGAAACTCAACGCTTAGCATACTCGTGTTCAGGATAACTTTCGTCGGCATAACTCGTTCGGCAGGGACCTCGAACTACCTAGCTAAAGCTGCCACACGCCTAGGTCTTCTGTTTTTGCCAAACCACCTACTCGCACCTATGCCAAGTTGACAAGCTGTCCGTTTCGATAGATCATTGAGTCAACTCACCCAACTAATAATCCATCGAACTCGCGCACTCCATGACATCGGTTCTATAGCAGCAAGTCACGTTCCATCAGCGATATGGTATCACTGATCCACCTGTATTTTGTGTTTGTTGTAATAAGGTTAGGTTCGTTTACATTCCTTAGTAATTCATTATAGTATTCCTTAGAAATTAAGTAAGTTAGTCAGTGAGTTTGATTCGTTGTTTGCCGTTGTTTTTGATATCGGTAGTCGATGTACTCGTCAATTCTACGTCTACCTTATCCTCTACCATCGAATGAATAACTGTCCTCAGTGTCTCAATCCATCTATCTAATGCCTCTAGACACGACAAATTGTCACATGCTGACCGAGCCGAGCAATACCACATATCTCTATCAATACTACACAACTAATGTACGTATCCGTTTCACATTGCACTTTATAGCACTATCCACTATTCTCGGTAATTACTTACGGCGGTATTTACATTCGCGCACATTGCTAACCATCAGTATCACTAGCAAGGCAGCAGCTGGCGGGGCTAAACCGCCTCACGCTGTTACGGCTTTCAGTAATATGACAATATGATCACTTTACACATCACAATTTGAACGCATCATCATGGCCATACACTGGTAGAATTTAGACTGCTGCTTTTCGCGCGTACTTTCACTCACGAAAATAAAAACGGACGAACGGACGGACGGACGGACGGACAGACAGACAGACAGACAGACAGAGCGAAAGCGAGATAGGAAAGAGAGAGGAGAGGGAGAGAGGGAGACAGACAGGCAGGCAAAGAGAAACGAACTGATTTAATACAGACTGCTTAGTTTGATCGGCTTCTTCTTCTTTTTCTAATTATTCGTTGACAAGCAGCCCAGACGGGTGACACAAGAACAACTCACAAATCGGCACTGATCATTGTGTGACATTAACTAGTTTCACCACTTCTAACACGCACCGGCACTTAAGATGCCTAACAACACACTTCAATAACAACGAACGAATAAACCATGGGAGCGTTTGAAACCTATGAGCTATTTCATTATGAACAATACCGCAACTATTTAATTACGGAGACAAAGGTACAATTATTCTGTACTTAGCCGCTCTAACCAATATGGCTTCGATTGCAATGTACGGTGATGAGCGCGAAATGACGACACCACTCCCTTACTCGTGCGTTATGTTAGGCCCTCGCTGTTGTCGGTTTGACAACTAGCTTTTTTACCGTCTTCGTCGTCAGCGTTAGCCAACGACTCCCCTACCATTACTGTTGCTGCTTGTCCGGTGGCCACTAATAACATGCTCTCCTGAAACCACAAGTGATCATTTCCATCCTGCTTGCTCCTGATAAGTGTTAACCTATGCAAATCTGCCACCCGATTGTGACGCGCTGCCATCCACCCTCAGCCAGTGCGCTCTGAGATCTCAGTTCTCGCGGCTCCCCTTATTGCCCACTCTCTCCACGAGGCTGGAAAAGGAATCCTTTGTCTGGCGACTAGGTGATGGCAGAAGGCTGCTGCGGCCTCAACGGCAGCGACGGTGGAAATGGCAGTGATAGTTTCACTCGCTCTAAATCTCTGACTCCAACGACGACTGCGACAACAGCGATAGGTAACAGCAGCCGAAGTCCTGGGACAACGGTGCAGTTCTGCCAGCAGCGGAAGCAGTGTTATTCAGCTGGCAGTAATGTAGGGTCGCTATGAGTTGCTGTCTGTGCAGTAAGAGCATTCAGAAGTGCCATCAGCAGACATTCGCCGGATCGCATCAGGAGCATCACCGCGGCCACCCGACTCCCTCGTTTTCCAAAATGAACCGTTAGAAACTTGCAACAGTAGCGGCGGTAACAATAGCAACAACAGTTGATGCGGCTTCCCACTCGCCCTTTACCGTGCTACACCGCATGCTGCAAGCATGATCTCGGTCCATTCAAGGCACCGCCATGTCCACAGTCAAGACGGCGACGACAGTATGACGGCGCGACGCAATCAGGCGCCAAACGAAACTTCACTTGTTGAACGTCCGTCTGGCTGGCCTCCTTGGCTTGGCCTTTGGCCTGCCTGTTGGCCTTGCGGTCTTTCCGCTTGCTGACCTGCTGCTTACCCAGCAAACGGCTAGTCAGATAGGAAAGGAGAGCAGGTACCTACTGTTTTGTGTCGCTTCAGTTCAGCCGTGTGTTCTATGGACAATTCGCCTGCTGCACGTCTGACACGAGAGCGACAAGCACGGGTTGCCCGCCGTAACGGCTGTTCGTAGGCTGGTTGGACGGCTGGTTGGTTGGTTGGCTGTCTATGGCTCTGCCGGTTACAGCTACCTCCGAGTGCGTACTGACCCCAGACCCTCAGATCTCACGATGGTAACGCCACCTATCAACGACTCTAGCTACAATTCAAAAGAAAAGAGACATGCACATCTCTCACAACACCGAAGAGAAGGCTCATAAGGTCAGTCGCTACCCTCTCACACACTTAGAGCGAACCTTATGTCATGGAGAAAAATAGAGGGAGCAAAGGTGAAAGTCAATCTGCGACCAACAGCGTCTAAGTTCGGAGTCTATGTTCGGAGCACATCTATTTAGCGCTTAGTCGCTCGGGCTAGTAACAAGCAATTAGCACGAATACGACAAATGCGCGAAAGCCAAACAGAGCGCGAGGAGAAATTAAAAATTCGGGAAAATTTAAGAGATTGGGAAAAGTTAGAGAAAGAACCGGAAATATCGAAAGGGATGTACTTCTCGGATAAGAGCTGTGTTCCCTGTTCATATTAAAACCGTACAATCTGAAACAGCTGATTCTAGTCGGACGCATTCGATTTGCTTTTTTCGTTTTTCCTTCAGTCTATTTATGTGCAACAAAGCTAGTTAGAATTAACATTACGCATATGCCATGCCATATGTCAGCCAAGTTGGGTACGATCTCAACTGTACGATAGCATTTACTGAATTAATACCTTGAGCCGTGATTGATCACTGGCCAATATGCCGGTAAGTATTATAACTACAAAAATGCCACGAAGGGTATGTCAGCTCACTTGTAGCTCGTGCCCGCCTTGCGATCGCATAATTGACGGGTGTTTTGATTCTATTTGGTAACTGTATACAGTGATATGCTGCGGTAGACGGCAGTACTTCGAAATTTCTATTTAGTTTTAAGTCAAAAGGCTATTAGTATAGAGGCACAATCGAAAGGTGCATAATTTTTTGCTACTATATGGATTTGTGTTCAAGGACAGGCATAATTAAATAGCGAGCCATTCATATTCATATACCGTCCATCAAAGCATAAGTTCTTTCTTTTTGAAATACTGCCGCTCTGCGCAAGGCTACGCGGTTATACCTGATTTTTCATACAAGTATCGGCTGACACTTGATTTCCTTTATCTATTAAGTTATTTGGCTAGTTATCTAATTTTCAATTAGTCAGCATCTAATCAATAATTTGAAAAAACGAAACTACATAAAACACTATAACCAGTGCTGTCTGCACAGGCGCGATTTAGCTTAATTCTAGCCGTTGCTGCAGTCAATAACCACCACCACCACCATCATCATCATTCGGTCGTGGTTGAGACAAGATGGCGACGCCGATGTTGTCGTTAAAGCATGTGAGTTTTTCAAAATCTTTCATTATCTGTAGTTCATATTAATTACGTAAGGTGTTCGATAGTTGAGTAAGCTTTATTTGTTCTATAATCTGAGTGGATTTTGAGAAATTCAGAAATTATTTAGGTCAAGTGTCCTTGAAGTTAACGCAGCGAGTCAGGCCCTCTGTATACTAGACGGTTCAAGCATTCTCTGCCGCATCCATGCCTCTCTGTCGTATGAAAACTGCACATGTGAAGCGATCCTAGTGTACACTGTCACTTAACGTTTATTTCCGGCTAGGTCTCGAAAAGTCATATCCAGAAATGTGCATCTTAAGTTTGTCATTACGATTATGTGGTATAAGATAGGTTCAATGTTATATATACAATATGTAACCGTATGACAACTGCGCACCCTTTTGCTGCTTCAGTAAAAGCCTTTGGAGGTCGTATGTAGAATCACCCGAGTGAGAGCAAGCTTGCCAAGGGACACTACAGACATAAAGCTGCCTGTGTGACATCTTCGAAGAGTCGCTGCATTACCACTACCTAACAGAGAAATGTCACAGCAAGGTGTTAGTATTTAAATAACAATAAAATCAGGGCTCACGTGGAGTGTAGGCTAAAGCCTGAATATTGTGAACGTATCAATAGATCTCATACAGAAACAGCATTGGTTTCAGATTTGTTTCAGAAAACAGGTATAGTTATCAGGATGCTAGAACGTTCTAGATTCCCATTCTTGTTGAACCGTTGGATTTCAATAGGTTATAAAAGATTACCTAGATTATATTTGCATATATCGTCGCAGGTGCTCTGTAATCTAGCGAACGTTACGCTAATTAAAAACTGTTCAAATTATTAATTTCAAGTTAGTAACGCTGTCATAGTATAGGCAGTATTGGTCAGTTAGTAGTTAGGATTTGAGCTTCTATTCTTCTTCAACTTCAGTAAGTCTTAACACCGATTATGGATACTCTGTGCGACATGATGTTCGCTGCTAACGTTTGGAACATCGAAATTCGAGAAAGAGTTAGTACCTTTTTCATGGAAACTGGTTCGTTTATGTTCATAAAATGTCAAAATGTTGTAGAATTCTCATTCTCTAGGCTATTAATAATAGTTTTGTTCGTGCTCACTTGAATATTGGGTTGTTATCGCGTAGACCGGCTGCAACATCCTTAATCGATCGATCATCAATTTCTATCGCTCCTATTTCAATTCTTGAAAATTGGTTTTTGTACGTGTCGGATCTTATAGTAAAAAAAGCATTGCTTTAACCACGTGAAATGAGTCGATACGAGTGTGACAAATTACGCGGAATTAGAGGGTTAGGTGTCCATATAATCTCCTAGTAATTACCCGGTTTTTCACGCAGTGTCGAGGTATAATCATTATGTAGGTATTTGTTGTATGTTCCTCTTAGAATGACATGTGACTAAAAGGAGCTGATCGCGCCGTTGAACGTATCGAAGATGGTAGTTGCAGAACGATTTTTTTTTGCAGAACGACTTGTGTAACCATATTTCTTTCAGTCTCGAGAAAGCATATTCTGTTTTTGAGAAAAACGAATGCACGGTGTTAAATAGTAGTAGATTGATAGTTAACTTTACTGGAAATCCCCTACGGAACTGTAAAAATAGAGATGGTCAAAGTAGTGAAGCGGTGGTTTTTTCCAGATGGTAGAGCAGACTATTTGGACATAACATAGCTGAAGCCTGGCCGCTTAATTTCGAAAATAGGTGATGTTGCGTATACGTCGCAATGGTGATGTTTCCTGATAGAAATCTCTGGTTCCTTCTTGGTTTGTAGAGTTCGAAGGATCTGTCTCGGTAAAAGCGACGAAAACTGCTTTGATTAAGGTAGAGCCTACAAGATGACCTTATCAAGTCGGCGATGGCTTTGAACTTAGATTTAAAAGCAAATTAATATCGAGCATAAACGAATGCAAGAAAAAATGACCGAAAAGTTAAGCGCTTTTCAATAGCAACGAAACAATCTATGAACTAGTTCCGAGTACTAGGAAAAGTAGTTGGATTGAGACAGTCTGCATATAGGTAGGACGAAATTTGATTAATGAATCTCATATCCAATAATTCCATTTCAGACGCAGTTATCTAGTACGGCGGCAAAATGTCTAACTAAAAAATGTTATACATTACGCGAATTACGGTCTGATATTTAGATGATATCTACATAGTTCAGCTTTGCGGCTGAGTTGAACGGGAGTTTGCCTCTCAGCTTTGTTGGCGCGGGGGAACAAGTACAAATATTTAGATCCACCAGTATAAAAAAGCTTGCGTTCTTTATTTTAAAGGAAATGAGCCTAACGAAGAGCTTATTGTATGTGTATGAATGTATGGTGTAAGCGCGCTAATGCAAATACGACTAAGCTCTTATATTACGGGCTGTACTTGCTCATTTCTATATTCCAGAATAGTAACTCAGATCCGCTATCTGATGTCTGACGGTTCTGACAAAATGGGTCAGTTATATATATTTTCAGTATGGATAAGTTACGATGCACTCTAGTCTGAATCATTGTTCTGTTAGTGCGCGTATTCCATTATAGCACGGGCCATAATCAAGCACGTAATCTCCCACGGAATGTCCCATGCAGCGCGTGCTTCTGCTCAGTTCGGCCTTTATTCATACACTTCGTGCTCAGTCTACGGCAAGCTATACCTAAAACTACACTCACGCAGTTTGCTCGTCTTTCATTTTTTCGTCATCATCGTCTTGAGGCAGGGGTTTCGCAGTAGCCCTGAAAGACAACACACATGGCCGTTATCCTTTTCTGTATAATTACAGAGCTAGAAGCAACGACGTAGGGTTGATAGAGGTGCTTTAACAATGCCTGCAGAGTGATCGATCGCTGCTGTCGTCTGCGGGCGTAACACTGGGGCTGTTCTAGGGGAAGGTTGTTTCATGGTTGCTCTCTATCTTCCTGTGCGCTATCCCACCTGAACTGATGGTAGCCACAAGCAAAAGCATATCAACGATTTTCCTTGTACGTTCCTAGTACGTATTGTGCCTTCGAGATCGCGTTAAATGAGCGACTTTACTCCGAAAGCTATGCTATATACAACTGGAAACCAAAGCAGGCTTCTGACGTTGTTCGTCGCGGTCTTTTCGGTCTACCCATTGGTCATTGATTGCTTTATTAACAGCAACATGATCAGCACTACTCATATTTTAATAACTAGTACCATCATGAACATTGTCATCGCATGAAAGAATCTATGCTTCAGCTAACTATTAGCTGGCTCTTTCTACTGTCCTTGTCGCGCTTTTACACCTTCACTTCGTCGCTGAACCTGAAAGACGATGCGCCTTCGTAACCACGTTTGACCACATAATTATTGATGTCCCATTACCTAGAGGATGGGATAGGGATAATATTTTATCATTCGTAGGCTGTTATCTATCAATGGCTTGCCTTCAGTAGCAGCAGTGACATCGGCAGCACAGCTTTTTTTCTTCATGGGCCGTTCTCCTATTCTCATTCGAAATAGCCTCATTTGGCCCCATGGCCGCGGAGCATGTTTTCATTCGAGAATTGAATAGACGCGTTGGAGTTTAGTCGCAACGGGTAGCCGCGTAAACATCCTGTTGATATGGGAATATGGTAAAGGGAAGGTAGGCACCACAACCGCGCAAGTCCGTGTAGCCTGTTAAAAAGGTACAACATGGAACGCTTGTACCGTAATAGCGTCAACGCTAGTGGCAACAATAGCGACCTTAGCTACGGTAATGTCTGATGTAAACACTGCGCGCTTGACAAGTGAACGATGAGCGAGAGACAGCAAATGCCGCCGCCGGCGCCTGCAGATTGCGACGCCTCTCTAAACCTTCAGCCAAATGTCTTTTGCTGTTCGGAACTCGGTGTATCGGTTCGATTTTTATCATTGATCAGTGATTGCCCTAGACGTAAATCTGTATAAGCTACCCATAAACATGTTGAAGGAGTGTACGCCATGTGTTCACCTCGTTCATTACTGCGCTTTTGCCACCCGTCTACTCTTCCTTAATGTAAAATAATTGGTAATATCAGTCATGCTGCTGGAGGTAGACTGTGTGCGTGACATGGATGACGTTCATAATCTCGTTTGTAGTGTTATCTGAAAATTTCGTAAATACCATATCCGAGACTGAAGTTTTTATTTGAAGGTGTATCATGTTATCTGTAAATCAGCTCACCTGATTCGTATGTAAATTGATTTTCTAGAATTGTTGTATGGTTGAGCGGCCTAGAAGGAGTATTTTTTCTCATGAGGAATGGTTTAAATTAAGGCTGAACTTTCATTCGAGAATTGAATAGACGCGTTGGTTGTGTTGCCACGGATCTCATTAGCTCTGTGGGGTTTCTGTACTCGAGCGACTACGGAAGTTAGAGAACGGAACCGCGTGAGATATTGATTGGATATTGCTGAGAAGTAGTTATCCACGGTAAAATGGTCTGGCTTGTTTGTATCATGACACAAAGCATTGCTTCGAACAGTATTTCGCACGTACGTCCAAGCATTTGGTGTGCGACACTGCAGCGAAGACAAACGTAAAAGTTTGATGCTCTAATATATATAGTAGATATATACTGCAGCTTAGCCACCTGATTGACTGTCTTTAGTCACGTTAATACGAACGGTAGCTCTTCGCTATATTGTGGGGGCCTCATTTACCCTGAGTTGGATATTCGAGAGGATGTTGCGTAAGTGTATGGGAGTGTGTATATATAGCGGTTGGCTTGGATACCATGCTTTTTGACAATAGCAATTGCCTTAGTAATTACAAGATTGTTTCCTTAATTAAGGTATTTAGCACATCATATATTTTCAAGTGCACATGTCCATATGTCATATCTGGTGACAGGCTACTTTCACGCAGTTCATGCTCCGTCAGCAATCACTGAAACTATACCGGGACATCCTACGATCGCTGCGTCAGCTTGACAACAAGGATCAAGCTAAAGAGATCCGTCAGTGGGCTCGCCAGGACTTCGAGAGCTGTAGACATCTACAGGACCCTGTAAGTGAACACTTATGTCACGTTTGTTATTTGGTTGATGACAGCGTATATCCGTGTTAGGTGCAGCTGTCGTGGATAAATTTCGCAGCAATAGCAGTAAAGAATAACAGGAGTTCGTTTATTACTAGGTAAACGCGCACCCACCGGAGCAGCTACTTGTCATTGTAAAAGACATTTTTCGTCATCCTTTTCCAGAAATTTCAGTTTTGGTTCGGTGAACTGCTCGTTTACGACACGTTTTCGAGCGAAATCATTCGTTTTCTTTGAGTGAACCTTGTGTGCACCGAAATTTCAGTTGAATAAATGCTTTTTAAGCTCTAAATTATATAATGCTACATGTGTACTAACCGCTGCAATACAAAAGAAAATTGTGCACACAAATACCTCTTACCCATAGCAGGTATAACAGATCCTACATAATTATGTATTCGAATGCAGGTGCGATTGTCCTTAGTCTAGTAGGGTGTTTCATGTCAATAGAATATAGTTAGCGACTTGTGTACGTTCGGCCTTGTTTTCTTTCCTCACTCACCACTTGCGTATGTGGCACCAGCGTAAACGTTCAAATGATAATCGATGATTAATTCTCAGGAAGTCCTAATGTTACAACAAAGTTATTGTTTAATTTTACTGTAGGAGGCGATCAAGATGCACCTGGCACGGGGCAAGCTCGCTCTCAAAGAACTGCATGCGTCTCTGCAGCTGGCGAAATAAGCACCGCGTGCCCTTAGTACATCGTCAACGCTACGGGAAGCCAGACGCTATTCTTATCCTTACGGCCTATACATCAAACTAGCATCGTCAACAACATCAACAAATACAACCACTATAACAACATTAGCTGCAACAACGACAACATTAGCCATAGCACACATTGTGGCTAATGTGTCCAGCGGCACGTCGACAAATTTCAAATATAATATGCAAATACAATCCTAGATTTTGCTAACGCAATTAACTCATCTACTTCCTAAAGCACTTCGTCTACTTTTCATTTTCGACCAATGATAATTAGCGTATCGTGTAGGAAATTCAAGAAAAAGTGCTTGACGTCATGCAACACCTGCCGAGTGGTGCATGACTTTATCCGAGACTCTTATTTGAGTGCGAGAAAATCTGTATCCTTAACGAATAGCGTCTATTTGCTATAGATATTCATCCAAATCTATTTACGCAATTAACAGCAACGTGTCGCAGAGGAATCGAGGACGTGAACTTTCTTCAGAATAGACAACAACAACAACAATGTAGTTATTTGTCTTTTTGAAAAGATGCCATAGCAGGAAGCTAGTAACGAGCTAAAAGCAACAAAATCTGAAAAATGTACAATGCATAGATAATAGAGCTACAGTAATAGTAATAACTAATCATAAAGATAGGATGGAGCGTTTGTACTGTCTACGGTATATTTGCAGACCTCTGTACTAGCCGAGTAGTGCGATAATTGGGATCTTTGTCTTTGTGCTGTGTTCAATTATTAGTATTATTATGGCTCTATTAGCGCAATGCAGTTGCAAGGGCGTGCGGGCTTGTATTCTTTGCGAGGTATACCGTGGCCGCGTACCGGGCCAGCGTTTAAACGTGTCAGCAATACGGAGAACGTTTGTCTTCTGCCCAAGGTGCTGCTTGTGTTTTGAAGTGAATTCAGAAAGTGGTGAGTTGCTAAAAGGCGTTATTCGTGTACCAGGCATTCAGGTAGCGGAGGAGGCAATTTCTGAACGCCACGAAGAGTTTTTACAAGAGAATGTTGAGCGTTCGCCGTGGATCGAATCTCAGTCAGGTCGTCGAAAACAAGACTTTGGACCTAAAGTCAACTTCAAGAAGCAACGCGTAAAAACTGATGCGTTTCAGGGCTTTCCTTCATATATGGACATAGTTATGGGGAGCTTTTCGTCTCTCCCAGAGGAAAGTATGCGTGATTTTAATCCAATTGAACTGTGTAACCTTAAGTACAGTCCAGAGAGAGGATCCTGCATTGATCCTCATTTCGATGACTTTTGGTTATGGGGTGAACGACTTGTAACCCTGAACCTACAAGGGGCCACCGTTTTGACCTTTTCAAGGGCTCAAGACTTCAGTGATCTCACTCAGACCAACATCTCCTCTGTTACAGAATTGACAAAAAATAATGAGAATTACGCTCTGACCACCGACAATATTTGCAGACTGAGCCGAACGCATAGTTGTGCTGGGCTGGAGCAGCTAGGAGCTACAGAATGTGTTAGAAAGAAAGACAAAAAGGAAAATATTACGAACGACGAAGTGCGAGCTAAAGCTGGCGACGTCGTTCATGTCGCATTGCCACGTCGGAGCGTGGTCCTTGTGGCGGACGAAGCTCGCTTTCAGTGGCATCATTCCGTATTGCGGGAACACGTTAGTGAGACCCGATTAGCAATGACAGTGAGAGAGCTCAGCGAGGCTTTTCGTGATCCTACGAGAGAATATGAGTTTTCATTGGGCCGTGAACTTACAGCAAAAGCAAAGATCAACCCAGCTCTGTGAAGAAAGTCTGTCACATAGTGTATATTTGAAACCCCCGGCGATATTGAAACACAGAACCAAAAAAATTCTCTACCGGGCTACGCAACGACACTGCTTGCGATTAACGTAGTAGTTTGAACAATATCGAGTTTGTTAGTTGTTTCAGTTCTATCTTTGCTGCTGGTAAATGCATTGTTTTGGGAATTAAAGTGTGCGGTGCTTTTGCATGATCTTGTCGTGAGGATATTACGAATATAAGTAAACAGAGGTGCCGTGATTTTAATTTGTTGCAGTCGTGACTATAGAGTAGAAACTTTCGTAGTGCTTGAACAGATCCAGTCAAAAAGGAGGGGTTCACTGATACGACTCGAGGATGTTAATAAGCCTTAATTTTAGGTGCTTTTTTCTTGTGCCACATATGGGACTGTGTGCCACATATGGGACTGTCGCACCATAGCCACAGGAATTTCATACATTATTAGTTTAAGGTGAAAAAAAAGTAAGGCATGGTAACGGCCATGCCCTTCGGTTTTAGCAGATAGTGATAAATACCGTGTATATTGACAATGCAATGTAGAGCGAAAATTGCGTGCCGATAACGATTGAACAACATAATAAACAAGGCGAGTCACTTTTTGCTCGTAACACGCTGTCTTTACTATTGGCTTAACAATGAACGAACTTCACCGAAGCGGTGTCCTGTGCAAACCGAACAAGTGAACGGAGCTTGTGTCACTATCGAGTCTTTCGGGTTGAAGTACATACTAAGAAAGTTACAAAGTACTGAACAGCAAAATTAATTTATATATTTCCTCATCTACGATCAGAATGCACATCTAATCAATGTATGTGCGGTTCGCCTCTGAACAGATAATCCGGAAACCATTGACGGCCTCGCTTTGTTGTTATAGTCCATTAATTACCATTGTTAGAATCCAAACGTGCACTCACGTTCTGAGGGGAGTCGGAGTTACACGACTGCGCATTTTCTAGTCCGTTTGTGATTCATCATTATTCTCTAGGCTTGTGAAACGAAGGCATGTAGGCAGTTTAGACTTAGGAAGAACACTTACTTGAGATGCGTTTTTTTTATTAAAATATCATTATTAATATTATTATCAACATAGTTTTCAAAATCGTAGGTATACAGAAAAGTGGTGATAAATGTTTTACACCAAAGCCTCAACACTGCCGCGTTACATCATCACCATGATCATTACATTTATTAATGTCTGCAATGTTAATAGAAAAAGAGTAATAACCATATTAATAATCTGCTCTTTATATATGTTAGAAAAGATTAGGGAATAAACTATACAGCATCTTCGTTACGGCAATTTTTAGATTCGAGCATTTCATGAATATCCATGGTTATATCATTGCACGAATGTTTTGTTGTGGACGTGTTTTTTATGATCATTAGGAAGTTCTTACCTGCAGGGTGAAAGTCCCTCGCAGTATGTCCTTTCATAAGTGGGAGCGCATTGAGCACCTCCATGGCGCGGATTTCTGATGTGATGATAATCCGTGACACGGGTAGAGTGAAGTAAATGCAAATGGACGTTACTATAATTTTCGCTTGAGACTCTGGGCAGTTATTGTACCAAGCTACAGTCACATGATAACTGAGATGCACGCTAAAATCAATCGAATGACGAGTCCAAAACCACTGTATACAGCAGATCTACTTGGCATCCTTGATGGTAGCGGGATATTCGAATGGAACTTCATTTGAACTGAGGGTGCAAAATATACATAGAATAGGATTTGCAATTGGAGAAGCCGCGAAAAAATCTTATTCTTAAATTAAGCAATATCGACACAATCGGAGTGCACTAACCTCTTAATAGAACGAGTGCGTTCGCGAAAACCGCTACCGCAGGTTTTTGAACATGGGCCCCAGCGAGTCCACTGGCTCAATTGGCAATCTATTGCTGTTGAATAAGTTACACAAGTACATACTTTGCTATTAACAAGTCTCCATAAGCATACGCATGTGGAGGCATTACGTTATTCAAATACTATATAATAAAAAGGGAACATATGTTGAGTTTTTTGCAAACAAAAATATATTACGCAGGAAAGCAAAATTTGCTCAGAATCCTCAGTACGATATAACGGCGTACGTAGTTCACGGCCGGAATGATTCTTAATATCATTCAAATTAATACTACTTTAGGTGGCGAGAGGAGTTAAACGTTTTTTGATATTTCGGTAGCTATAAGACGTTAATTGATTAGTCAAAATAATGCTTTAGTAGTAAATAAAGACCAAAACACGAACCGCTACTCATTTGAGTACGAGACAACTTCATCTTGATCAGACAGATCTCATTAAAATCATTTGGTGTCTTATTCCTAAATAATTCTAAAAGTAAAACTTACTTCAATGTCACCGTCTGTGCTTGTAACAACTCACCCAAGTAAAAATGAAGGCTGAGCTGTGTTGAATAGAGAGTTCAATCCTTGGGAGATTCGAATGATATTGCAATAAATACATGATTTGCCGATTTACTTACTATTTAAAGTAACTAAACCGAAAATATTTATATTGCAATTGCACAATTGGTTTAATCTGACCTTTCTTTTTTTTTCTATCCAACTGTGTTGCCTAATGATGGCATCTAGATGTTTATGCTGATGTGAAAACACAGCTGAATACGACGAATTCTCATCACCGGTCGGTTACTTTACCGTTCTCCCCTAATATTCTTTCTGCTAAAGTCGTACAACATTTTTTTTTTATCTATCTTTCTTGTGCCGTAGGCCACAAACCAGCAAAGTTTATAGGATGCAGTGGTACTTACGACAAGGTGGCGTGTCGCATCGTCGACGTTGTATCAGTTTCTCAGGACACGGTCTTCCACCGTTTTGGGCTGGCGTGATTATTCGTCGGTAACTGAAATTTCAGGATTCAATAAAGAAGAGATAATTATTATTATCACGAAATAGAATATTAAACTAAGAATATGAGTAAGGCGAGGCGAAGTACTTCTAATATGATTTCAAGTTCTTTCAGGACTGTAGGAACTATTAAAGCTAAGGTAAAATACATTAGTGAAAATAAATAATTTAGAATTATTAAAATGCTGTTACCGTTCTTTGCGACTAGTTCCACAGGTCTGTGAACACTGGCTCCACGGTGTCCACTGAAATTATTATAATTGCTTAATTCATTCTTCTAAGCTGTTATATACTTTTTCTTTTCAATATAATTCTTATATATCAAACAAGCAAAATATGTATATATACATACCTATATTAGAGACACATTTTTCAATATTTTATCTTAATTCCGCAAAATGAGCTCGTTTTGCGGTCAAAGTCATTTTAGTACGAAGTACTTATGTAATTGTACGCATAGCTGGGTATAGAGAGGTAAAGATTTTATGGTCCTATTATATATATATATATATATATATATAACATGATAAGGTAAGAAACAGGATTACATAAAAAGCAGTCCATGTCGTGTATAAAAAAAAAAACTGAATTGGCGATATTTATAATCACGTATGGACAGAATGGTCAATGGACTTTTATGTTTCCTAATTAACCTCCTGTGATAGGAGACACGTGGTTACTGCGCAGTTTGTGCTATGCAGCAGTATTATCGTAGTTGTCCATGGCGTTGTTAAGACCGTGTAGCATACGGATACATAAACTCTTGATTGATAAATGAATTTTTGTGTGATGATCCACTGAAAAATCAGCAGCTGCCTGCAGTAAATTTATTAGTGCACCCGTAGCTCAGTATCGGATGCAGCTATAAGATGAATGATGAAATAAACTTTTTAAATTTAAATGAACTAAATGATTACCTTGCTAACAACGCAATCAATAGATCCTGCTCCACCAGTTCGGTGTCCTCCAGGACCACTATGGGATGAATCTTTCTGTATGGGGTCGCTCTCACCTGGAAACGTGGGGCCGCCTGAAACTATCGACGTTTCTTCGCCGATGAAATTTGTCCACTCAATTTACCTGAGCTTCATTTTTGCCATCATGGCTTTTTATGTTATTAACATGACTGCGGTTTAGTTTTATAGAACCACATAGAAAATATAAAAACGTTCTGAACGCCATACGCGGTTATCTAGGATCCACTTTGGAGTTGTTATAAAGTTAGTCATTATATTAGAATTAACGTACCCGCCGTATTGAGCGATACGTTGCGGCCTATAATAAAGATATGATAATTGCTTGTTCTGGTTTAGCGTATCGCATCAGGCAGGTGCGGTTTTCTGTATAGGCGATAGTATTTATACTGTGATTGAAACGCATTTGAAGTAGTGAGAAATCCCGAAACTACTCACCATAGTCGCCGGAGTCTCCGGTTAGAGGTATCTCGCACTCATCCCGACATTCTTCGTAAGTTTTGAAATTGTTAGCATTGCCATGGCAGCCAGTGTACACAAAATGTACACATTTTCGCTGAAAACCACAATGTTGATAGAAAAACAGCCTATAAGTGTATCTCTGTAATTATTTTTGTTTAATGATAGGACATCAAAAGAAGTTACGCACGAAGGCGACGAATTATTAAAGAATAAAGAGCACGAGCTCACTGCTATCATTAGTATTATTACCATGTAGATTGTATTCTATTTTGTAGAAGGGCTTACGTTCATGCGCAAATGTCATATTATATGTTATTTCACAACATTAATTAATCTTTTCACAATTCAAAACAGCTTTAGGGCAAAGTACAAATTATTTTCGATTGTTTGTACAGAAAAGCCTTTGTTTTTTTTATGATTCTTCATAGCTGTTTAAAATCGGCGCTCAGGTCTACCACTTACAGAGGCTAGCTGAAACTTGAGTGATCAACATAAGATTTGTGCTCAGTTATAAAAATAAATCTCTTTTCTTCAGATTCCCGGGCCTAAGTGGTTCTAGGACTACGAATGCATAAAGAAGCAGGACCACAACATGAGCTTCACACAGTTTCATGTAGGCAAATAAAGATCTTAGACTACTTATGCCAACTGCATACAGGGGTAACATTTGTGCACCACGGGTTTTCTTTGCTCACTAAATGTAACAAGCACTAAGAACGGGATGTCTAGACACTTAGCGACCTTAGAGCTAACCAACCATTTTCCTTTTAACAGATAAAAATTTAAACTGCATCGATAAAGGGTACCGCACTTATGAGTTGATAAAACAAGTCTCATGTCTTCTGACAACTTGACAAGGTGTTGAAAGCATCTGAAAGACAAAGATTTGAAATTGCAAGGTCGCACGTTCATCAGCTTTTATATATAAGCATGGGCAGCTTAAAGCCAGCTGCATTCATCATTTTTTGGTGAACTCTAATGAACAACATGAAAAATTCATTGCGAAAAATTTTACCTTCCAGAACTTCAATAATTACATATGTCGTCTAGAAAATGAACAGTCGACCCTGCTATTAAAAACCTTTCACCAAATAAGCCGAAAATTATTTTCGGCGAAAATACTTTGAATCGTCCTCTTCTGTGCATATATATAATGTTGATGTGTTAAGATCTTCGAAATAAATGATCTTAAACTTTTCCCATTTTTAGGTATTGCTTAGATGGCTAATGGACATGCGCTCTGACATAACCAATACGAAAGCGGAAAGGCCTGACGATGCCAATTGTTGTACATAAAATATATTAAATGTACGCGAAATGCGGCAGCTGTTTTGTTTGAAGACAGTTGTTTGAAGCGATTGAGGGCTTGTGACCGCTATTGGAGAGATAACCGGGCAGTCCCTGTGGTGTCGAGCTATTTCGGCATTCCACAATACTACGTATTCTCATAAAGGATTCAACACAGACATTACTTGTCGTACCATTTAACCAGAACTATACAATGTTATAAAAGATAATAATTTAATATCTCTGTATGACATAAAACACTTCTGAATTCTGGCTGAAATCTGAGTATTATTAGTTTACATTATACTTGTTGTATATATATACGAGCACATACAGGCTCGTACACTCGACTAATCTAAATATAACATAAGCGATAGTTTTTAAAGATATTTATAATTGTGTATATATATAATTAAAAATCTTGACGTGGTGAGATGTACTCCTGTTTGGTCGAAATTTTCACAAAATTCAGACACAAAAAACCGGCTTTTCCTGGATTTTACCATTGACTGGCGTGAGATCAGCTGCTTGTTAAATGGAGCACGATTCTCGTGATTTTTTTTAGCTTCGATGCCGCGTATTCAAAAGCCGTAGATAGTTATTGGAGTGTACAATAGCTCTTGCCTGAATAAGTGTTTTTTTGGAAAGTGTAAGTTTTCTCTACGATTTTATGAGTTTATCTTTTTGACTAGTAGTTACTGCGAGATGTTGCTATGGAACGAGAAACTTGCTCAGCGATCACCTTTACCCTCTGTAAGGAGCGGTACCTATTAACATTCGGCAGTGCTGCGTCATGACAGATTGGAGCGATAGTGTCGGTGTATGCCAACAATTGTTCCCAGTTGATTCTTATCAGGGCTATATGCCAGATAACATTATCAATCTGCATTGCTCCATGTAATTTCAAGCAGCTCGTTGTACATTCCACCGCTATTAGAGAGATGCACTGCAGCATCTAGATGGTAGGATTTTAAAGGTCCAGGCATCACCTGCATGTGTTTCCCTTAACGGCCAAAGTACACCATCGAGTTGCGAACGCACCTTCTTCTCAAACAAGTCAGATTGTGAACAATTAAAACCAATTTCAAGGTGAAAATACGGAAAATTTTTTATTCTCTTTTGGGCTAAGCAAACTTTGCTTGCAAAGGATTGCTTAGTAATGCCTAGTTGTTCCTATAACTGCTACAGGGACGTCAGTGTTACGCATTACATCGGTAACATTTTCCTTAATTTTAAGATCACTCGTGCTTTCCTATACGAAAAATCGATTGCATCTGGCCTAGTAAAATGCCACAATTCTTAACTCTTACGTGCAGTAAAGAGCTGTCTGCAGCTGGTAGCAGTGATTATATTGAAATGATAAGTTCGAATCATAATCAACATGCAGACTTGAATTCATAATTGTATTGTAAAGAATATATACTCGTCATTGGCTTACCTGATCAGGGTTATAATAGTATCTTTGGAACTGACCACGACAGGCACGACCTTCGTCCTTTGGAAGTCGACATCTCTCTGAGGAACGTGGACGGGGATAGCTTTGGGTTATTCATTTAATAGTAGTATAGATTCAAATTTCTATTTACCTTATTACTATCTATAAAAAGACGAGTAACTATTCGATAATAACCTGCCACATTAGATAGATTCTCCTGGTCTGACGTGCTCTTAAAGATACCCCCTCTCTTTTTTATGCTGTTCAACGTTTCTATTTAGCAAAACGATTAAATATATCATTTTGCCGAAGCCTATTACAGCACAAAATTGATACGAGTGTTCTACTAGCAAAATGCGGCATTCAGAAGCATTCGTTACTGACACAGCTAGTACAGAACAGTTGTTCGTTCCTCTTGCGTCCTGATCATTTGAAGTCGACAATAATTGTAGTACTCACCGTATGGTTCGAGACTGCCACACTCGTCACCGAAGCAAGCTTTTTCTTGTAAAAGTTCCACGCCGCATTGATTCAGGGTGGCAATCCGCTCGTCACGATATAACCTATGGCAAAATGCTCATTCGTTATGCGATCATTGTTCTCAATTTCCAAAACAAGTACAATTATCAAGTTGTTATAGTACCTTGTGCGTTGGGTGATGCCTTCCCCACAACTTTCCGTGCACGGAGACCATTCGGTCCACTCAGTAACGGCACATTCTGAAGGTATCTGCAAAATCAGATCGCATCCTTACGAAAAGTTTTTTTTTTTTGCCATTTTTGAATAAAGCCTCCCGCGTGACTCCATCAAAGCACAAAATAACGATGTGTTTGCCAAGTGCGTTACTTTCGCTTTTAATAAACATACACATTCTAACTGTGTGTTTTTCTTTCGAAAGTTAACTATCCATCCACAACTATATATTCAACCTTGAGCTCACTTAAATAGTCCAGTTTAGCTTTGAACTCATACTACCCAAGCAACTTATTGCATAGACATATTCGCGTTGTATAGATCAAAGCGTCACTATTGAAGTAAACTGGTTGTACGAAACGCTTGTGTCGAAGGAAGCTGTCATCTAAGAAGAATGAACCCAATGGCCTTACCACATCATCAGTGCACTCCGGTAATGTTCCTTCGCATGGAATTTTCTGCATTAACTCTTGAGAGCAAACCTGAAACGGTAAATATCAACGGTGCCTTATTTGCGTGGCTTTATGTTCAGTGATTACTCTTGACCTAGTGAAACATCATTCTCACTAGTCCCTGCGTTGCAGTCCATCTAAGTCAATATCTGTAATCTACCTTGTTGGCCATTTTATTTTTGAATCTTCTGTGTCTAGTTCTCCAGCCACGACCGCAAGTAACGGGGCAATCTTCCCACGAAGACCAGGGTGTTGTTTCACAATTAAAGGTCCTGAAGGAACATTTGAAGGTAAGAAGATTGAACTTATATGTACACAGAACAAAAATTTTCCAGAGCCAATATGCTCAATTTTTGAGTAAATATATCACTGGCAAAAATAGCACCTGATATAGTGTTTGCACTAAATAAAATCGATTCTTTAATTTTTGGATAGTTTTTAGACGACCGCGTACAGTAGCGATGTTTTCTGTTTATATAGAATTCATTTTATTGAAATTGCCAGCAAAATTATTTGACTACGAGCGCAAATAGGTAAGGGCAATGAAATACCAACACTCACCCACATTCTTCACAGGGTATTGTATGAACGAGGGTGCTTCGACACTGTGCTGCTTGAGCTTTTTCGAGGAACTTAAGTTCAAATAAAAGAACAAAAAAGTAACTGAATTTTGTTTGTATAAGTAGACTTCAGTAACTGAAAAACTATGTTTACGCACCCCTTCTACATCTACAAAGAGGTTATATGTTTATTCGTTTCTAAAAGTCAATTTCTTCTCTCTTAAAGGACTTGACAGTCTAGCCCAAATTTATGTTTTTGACAGAAGACATATATATGCGCATAACAGGCTAGGACTAAGGACTTCTTGAATTTCCCGCGTACTGTCTTTTAAATGACCCAGCTACCGCGGCATATAATATAGAAATAGACGTAGACACGCTAGAAACGGGCTACTCCTACTTGATAGGCCCGTGATCGAACCCGCACGCAATTTTGATTGCACGGCCCAAATGCTGTCCATTCGTGTGATGCACATTCATCTGAAAGCAACGCCCGACAGACACATGATAGGTAACTAAGAATGACTTTTAAGTGGGCACTCTTCTTTGGGACAGACGAATTATAGCATAACAGATACTGTTTCCAATCAGGACTTGAGTCCAAATAACATTCAGCATTATGATGGACAGAAGGAGATAGCGGTATCGCCGGTTGTTTGTCTTTTTCATGTTACTATCAAGTGACTTTTAATAACAACAGGTATTTGCTACGATATGTGGTATTGGTTTCTTTCAATACCAATCATCATGGAATCGTTTAACTAATTTTGGGTATTTTTTTAAATTCTTTTTTTTTTAATTTAATAAGTATCAACTTGAATTTTGATTTAATTGGATTTTATCTGTACGGTTGAAGAAGGGTAAAAGCCTTGAGGCGATTATTAATGTCGAAATCGTGCACTTGGACGAGTTGCAAGCATTTGATGCGTATCACTAATGCTGATAATCATACAATAACTAATAATGTAATACCTATGAACAGTCTGCGGTTCAACATCTATACCCTGTAAAGGTCAGAGATAGTCATTTCATTTTTGTTATTACAGATGATACTACCGGGTTCGGCTTAGTACGGCTAGTATGCGACTTGCCAGTTGTACGTTGCTATCAGTCAAAATATAGCGATATTCCAACAAATGGACATATTTTCAAGGACGTAGCAGCACCTCCCAAAGTTCTCAGGAACGACTCAACATTTGCGTGTCTCCTTCGCAACGTTCAAAGGAGAAGCTTGCTATTTGTATCGCATTAGAAGTCGCATGATATTGCGCGCTGCGGCGTTGACTTTCGGTCCGACGATAAGTGGTAAAAAATTGACTCCGTATATTATTACATTGGGGACCACTAGAGCGTATTATTGATGCATGCTCTGAGCAACCAGACGAAATTTATCCATAACTGCTTTGCAATGATACAGCGTTCTTTATCGCTAAAACAACGGCATCGCATTCCACAAACGTAAGACATCGCAGATCTTCCCACGGGAACAAGAGCAGCGGCTAATCTCAAGATCGCTGAAAATTATAACAAACCATACAGAGAGTCACACGCCATCCCGTCTATCGACGCGCACTTCGGCGTATCCATGGTTTCGCCTACGCTCAGGAACCGTTTCGAAATTACCCATGGGCGGTACTCGAACGAAACCCTATTTCGCCAATGCCTTATGTGCCATAAAATTTAAAAATAAAACGCTTCCGCCAAGGGTAACCGGTTACCTTTTTATTGGCTGACGTGGGCCTTCTCGTCGAATTTCTGTGTGCTCTTGAAATGAGAAGCGGAAAAGTTAGCTCGCTCGTTTCGCGTACCTTATGTAGAGCAAATCATAATCCAAATCATGAACGGCCTAGGGCAGGCGACGAGAGCCTTAATTTCGGCCGTACAGAGTGTGTAACAGAGACCGTAACAATAAGCTATTATAAGGAGAGATTGGTCTTGGCGCGCATCTCGGAGCGCTCTTCTTGAGCCAAGAAATCTATCGAGGTTGTTCAAGTAGTTTAAGACAAGAGCCGACCGCTCTGATTCGGCCCCGTGGCGCAAGAGTACTCCATTTTTACAAAAATTTGTCGCGAATCTTGCATTTTGATTTTTACTTCAATCTGGAAAAGGTACAGCTCTTTCAATAATTGCAATAACAGTCGAATATCTTAATTGAATTTTATCGAATCGGCAAAAATTATGAGATCAAGATTGCTCCACATAAAACTGTATGGGCCTAATTAACTCGACTCCTTGACAAAGTCTTGACATCTGTGTGATTCTTCAACGGTAATCTTGCGGGCCGTGTTCCTCAAGCAGCAAATTTTGAATGATAGCGACCACTCAAGGCATTGGCGATTCATGTCTGTTCAATGGGAGCAGTTCACCCGGCGTCAAGATGAACGTTGTCTATTGAAAGAAGTGTCACGACGCTTGTGATTGAACAATTCGGGATTACAAAGATCGTTTTTTAAATGGATAGAATCCAACGTGAATTTCCGCTGCTGACCTGGTTAGATATAATAGAGTCATTTGCACAATAAATCGGGCCAAATTTCGATATGGTTTAGTACTTAGATTGGTATGGGGTGACTTTTCAGTTTCTTTTTGACGGTGCATTATTAATTATGCCTATAATGTAATAAAAATAATACTTCTACCTAAAACGACATAACATTTACTTAAAAACATTCAGTCTAATGTAACTGAACCGACTTCTAATCTGATTTACGTAGTCCGTCGATAGAGCGTTTTACGGTAACGCGACAAAAAGACAAGTTTTTCACGTGAATACTTTACGAAGGCAAGCAGCACCCCGCAGGGATGTTAAAAAGATCGAACTGAATGATGAAAACTCCAGTTTGCTTTTCGTTAGAGGTAAAATATGTGCGAAACTTCTTACTGTTCGATCACCGTTTCTTGTTGGTGCGAGACAGTCAGTAAACAACATGAGAATTCTGCCGCTATTCAATGTGATCCTTCGAATAAACTGATCCATGACCATAAGGACTAGCTTTGGTATTAAGTTGTGTTCGAAACGATCTGAACGGGACATGGAAGACAAGCTTTTTGTCGTACCTCTCATATCATCGATTGGTTGATCCACTGTTCCCGCCATTCGTTCCTCATCAGCGCCGCAAACCTTCTCGTACAAACGCTGCCTGTAAGCGTTACACAGATTTATATAAACACGTAATATACCTTCATTAATATTGGGTAGTGAAAAAAGCACTTCTGGAATTTTGTTCTAGTTCTATTATTCAACGTAACAAATATAGCACTAGTGGTCTTTACATATAGTTAGGAAGAAGAATCACGTTTGGTAATTCAGATCATAAAATACTATTAATGATAATGTAGTTAGGTTGGTTGTTGTGTGTACCTTGAAATGGTCAACCTAGCAACTGGCTTCATGGGTGTACCGGTTTCATCGTAAAATGGTGCTTCTGGGTCCGGTGGATATGATGAGGTGATTTTACGTATACGCTGAGGAGGTTCTGATTGTTCCACTGTTTCCTGCGGCCGTTCATATTTGTAAGCAAAAAAATGTACTTATGTTAGATGCGTATACGGTTCCTAGGAAACAAAGCTTAGGAAACGTAAGCAGCTGTTATCTCTCGGATCCTTGGGTTGTGCAGGAACACTTAATAATGAGTGCCAAAACAGGCAATAAACATCTGTCGTAAATTCGAGTATCTAATAATTCACTTTACAGATGAAGATACTAGCTATTATTCCATTCGAGTTTCATACATCACTCTCTGTGCAAATTTGTACCAGTGGACAGAAATAGTATACTGCTTAAAACACTTAAAGATTTAAAATAGATACTTTCTGATTTTTGTTTACCTTTTGAATTTTTTACTGGCACCAGATCGAAAAAATCAAAAGAACATAAGTATAAATATAGACAGACGTAAGTAAGCACTTCTCTTAACATCAGGAAATATAAGGACAGAACAGCATCATCTAGGTAAAAGGTAACGCACTAGAACAAATCATTCGATGTCTAGAATTATCAAAAGAAAAATTAATTAGTATATACCATCTTTATAGTTCTTCATTTATATATTCGGTGTGTACAAAGACGGCTCTTTAAAACAGATAAGATATTAAACACGCTTTAGTTAAAGAAGGAATCGTAGGTTTTGCTCTATAATGAGAAGTGTGTCTGAACTGAGTTGAATACAGTTACGCTCGATAGAGTATGTTAATCGTAAAAGACATGGAAAATCAAAAGAACATTCTCAATTGTATGTACATGCTTTTTGGCGGCCACAAAGACAAACGTGCATATAAAAACATGCATAGAACTAGCAATTTTTCAGTAGTCGGCTTCATGAAGTTGGCACATTCTAAATAAGTAATGTCGAAAGGCAGGTTACGCATTATGTCTAACCGAACGTCGCATACAGCACGTTGCATGAAACACTTTGCCTGAGGAACCTCAGATGGAGCAGGGAATGAAACACTGAGCATATTTAGCAGGATATAAGCATTGAAGAGAGCATGATCGACACCAGTTGATCCCCCTTGTCATATATACTTAAAAATTAGATTTTATCTCATAATGGCTTACGGTCGATTCTGTTGAAAGCCTTCTTTTAATTAAAATATTATGTAAAAAAATCGCAATTATCCTGATGCGTGACGCAGTTTTGTAACATACAAAGCAATTGAGTTAAGAAAAGCAAACAGGTTCGAAGTGAACCCATACTCCGCAAATCCATGGTTGTAAGCAACCATATTTTTTAAGCTGGAGCGTTGTAGAAAACAGAACACCGCGGGACAGGTCGATAGTTCAAAAGCTCGTTTTGGCCCCTTTTCACGAATAGAGATAATATAATATTGTATCCAAACAGATCAGAAACGGCACCAGCATTGCAGGAACGTTCAAACACTAAACACTGGCAATGCTAATCGCGTATTTAAACAATTTTTCCTACTTTTATTCAACTGTGGACATTTCCCGTCACACGTTACAAAGAGATATAGAAGAAGGCAACAATAACGACATCAGCACGAAAAAATGTCCATCTTCGCTTCATTTCCATCGCTCTTTGGCCTATAAATTCTACCTCAAATTAACCCCAAAAGTAAAGAGAGATCATATGGCAAAACACATTTCTCGCTAATTTAAAGCAATTAAATTGGCTCAAAGGTACATGCCTATCTCAAGTTTGTTATCGAACCCCACCGCACGGCACCAAATCAGTTAGTTTGCTTCCTCGATAGGGTACTATTGTTCATCGAGGGTCTAGTGCGACATTAGGACTTACCGCCCACTTTTCGTTTCAGCGGACGCCTCACGCTTTCGGAGATAAATTCGATGAAGTACACGTAATGTTCTATGAATTTGGATCTATGTTAAACTACGCATGGACGGTACTAAGTGCTTAAATCATCCTGTTATTAAAGACTATGTATGATTTCGCTTAGAAAGCTGTTAACTTACACATCTCAAAAACACATTTTTTCCTCCCTCTTAGACTATTTAGGAAAATGTTTATATGAAAATTTGAGGTTTACTAATTTTTGTCATCTGCCTGACAAAAAAATGAATAACTCTTATTAAACTCAATAACACGTCTGGTAATAATTGCTATCTACCGGGTAGTAAGTATGCCCTTCGCGAGTGCCAGCATCCCACGGGTAAAGATTGATGATTTTTTCAGCAACCCATGTGCAGTTGGCTAGGCAAAGTTCAAGTGAGGAAACCCCAACCATCCAATCGGGCGAAGGGTTCATTCTGAAAATGAAATAAATCAATCACAGTAATATTTGGAACTAAGTTCCACGGTGTTAAGGAGCGTTTACCCATGATAGTGGCGCACCTTGAAAAGAAAAATCTCAATGTAAATTGTTTGCGAAAGCTCTATTTTCAATGGTACAATTGCCCAAGCTATGGTTCATTTCATGCTATTTAAGCTAAATGCATACCTTGAGAGCAATGAGACCACGTGATTCTTCCGGTCCACCCGAAACACCGCAAAGGTCTTCTTCTTGAGATTCGGGTATCTTAATCCTTGTGCCTTGATTACCGTACGAATGTTTCCAGACTGTAAGGAAATACTAACTATGATACTAACTGTTGCTGGTAGTTTGTAATCTTTTTGTCACTACCAATACAGGTGCGCTCTTTTTCATTATTATTTAGGTCTTTTATATGAATTGTGTTTCGAACAAGTTAGCTGTCTACTTGAAGTTCTTTAGAACTATATCGTTATCTAAACAGCGGCACAAACTTAGATCATCAGGTGCGCAGCCGGATTGTATCTGTTCTATAAGACATCAATTTAAAGAGCTTCCACAGGTAGAAATTTCCAACAAATATTAGACAATCTAATACATTCTACTTAAATCAAAGTATTCGTCTCTTTAAAAACTAGACAACTTTCTTAACCGGAATCAGCGGCTCGTTGAGAACTCAGTAGATTATCCACTTGGCTTTGTTTTTGTATTTGGTGAATTTAGGTTGGCATTTTATTACTTGCCTGAAGCTTAAGCTCGGTCTCTAGTGCTTTTGTAAGTCCCGTTTCCGCAAGATGTCGAACGCCCTCGGTCGCAAAGCCTCCGTACTCCCAGATACGATACGAGGCAGCATGTGATGCTCCCGTAATATTCGAAAAGCGCACATCCCATTCATCTGAAAATCAATTGAACATCAAATGAATTTATGCAATAAAACTCGAAATCAACATCTGTCCTTAAAGATGAACTTGAGACTCCTACTAATGTAATTTAGTTTTTGTGTAAACTCATATATATTCGGCAGCAAGTAACTCTTGCCTAATCCGACTCCGTAAAATTTGTGAATAAGGGTGTCAATGGAGGTTTTTCGAATCGAAAATTTATGAATGAATTGGCGTTCATAGATTACTCCGCAAACTTACTTTCAGGGTAAGATTTAGGATGTGTGTATCGCGACCAAAGACCCTCGAAGGCAACCTCGTATTTTGCTTCTTCGCAGGCACAGCATTGTTCCAGTGTTTCACCTTGATCGTCGGTGTTTTCGAAATCCTGACAGAGCTCTCGGGTGAGCTCTCCATCATCCGCATACCAACGTTCGCCTTCTTCAACTACCGAAGCCCTAAGTGATCCAGTTCGATTTAAATTGCCATTTTTTTTTACGGCTTTCTCTATTCTGCGATAGAACCATGTGTTACTAATAGCTTTCGGTGCATAGGTGACGCAATGTCCCAATAAGTTGTAGTTCTATTAACATTATTACTACTACGAAAACTAAGTATCCGTATAAAAGGTCGTCTATACAAAACAAGCAAGTGGAGTATTATTCTGTTTGGAGGCAAGTTAAATGATAATCGACTGAATGGAACTTTTTTTCAAGAATTCGTAAACTGATAATTTTTTAATAATGCGAAAAATATTGGAAAAATTCGAGCCATAATCTCAGACCAACCTTTTGACAACCTTTGTCGTATAATTAACCTATAGTTGCTTCAAGATGTAACATAGACGGGTGTAATAAAAAAAAATACTACAGACATGTTTCTTTACATAGGTAGTGGACGGACTCACTTGAAGACGACGCAGCCCGATCCAGATGGCGGAGCTGTCCAGCGGACGGAGGCACGTGACTTCTGAACAGTCGACGTTGCGGTTACTGAATACGGACAATCTTCGGAGAACCTTGTCAGCTGGTCGCTTGAAAGCTGAAGGATGACATTGAATTCTCGTCAGTACCTGCTACGAGCGACTTTTTATTCACACAGTTATAGTTTTATTGGAAGGTTTGTTGTTGCATCGAACTTTGTAGGCACATTGTGCTAAATTGTTTTGCTAGGCAATTTGAGTTTGTTGCAGGTCCTTATTGATACAAGCTGTGAAGCTTATCTATACCATTGCAAACTACATACCTAATAGGAATAAGCACTCTTAGGCATTACCTACTTATGACAAATTCATTATTGTATATATTCATAGTAAAAGATGGATTTGAATGGATGTTTTCTACATTTTTTTTGCTCTGAGTTGTCTTTGTTGTATTTCCGGAATTCTTGACGGCAGATTAGCACGTCCTTTTTTAAGATGATCGTGTCATGGCTAACCACGTTGGCATTTATCTGCTTCGAGTTTACTCCGTTAAAATAAATCCCTTCTGGTGATATGCTATATATTTACTTCATGGAAAGTAAGAGATTCCATTAAAGTCAATGAAGACGGTCCACTTTTCTCAAATTACAGCTTTATTTATGGATGGACAAAGAATTCCCTGGGCATCTGTTATTGCAGTTAGGTGCTAATTATCAAGATTATCAGAGGAGCACTTTTAAAATGTTTTGGCTGCTCACACAATCGAACCTGGACTGAAAGGCTATTAGTTTGGTCTTTCCACATTTGAAAACCCGAAAAGCTAGAGGAAGTCCAAAGGATGGGTTTCCTAATATCATACGTGACAGGGCTGAGGTAAAATGAAGTTTTACTAAAACAGTGTCACCTTCAAATGCTATACACGTATATTTAAATACTATGTAATCTCAGTGAACAACACATTACTGTAGGCAGCTATTGTGAGCACTTCCTTTGCCGTTTAAAATTAGTCTAATTCAAGTACTTTCTTGAAGTAGATTAGATCCCTACCAACTTGAAACTTAAAAGGTTTCATAGCATAATATGCTACGCTAACATATATACAGGAGTAATCAATGATGTCGGTGTACGTGAAATGAAATGGGTAGATTTGTGGTCCGTGTTTACCCCCAATGGGCTGCTTGTCTCGTCGGTTTCATCTACCATTGGGTCTAAATATCTCACGCACCGACTTCGTAACACAGCTAGTCTCTTTGCGACGGTGTCAATCTAACGCTTTGTCTTACCACAAGTCTAAGTGATGGCGTAAGTGTCCAAGAATATTCTACGCTAGATTAAGCTGGTTGGCCACAGAATTTCTCGATTTGAGATAATTCAATTCTTTTACATTTAATGAGTGTCCATTAAAGTTTCGTTAAAGTTCACTAAAGACGTCGGTTTTAGTTTTGTAGCACCAATGTTTTAGACTATGGGTAAATCTATTAGTGAAACAAAACAGAAACAGCTGCTCATACAAGTGGATAATGCCAGCTCCTTCCATCAGAAAAGTACATTTATATTTTTGAGCTGTTATTTAATAGTGGCGTTTAAACACAGTAAACAAGAACTTCACGTAGGCTTTTTTTTACAATAATTATTGTAATGTAAGCTTCGTAGCCCTGAAGGTCGGCCAGGAAGAAAAAACACGCGAACACTAAATCTATAGCAGAAAAAGTTACCTTGTTTTGAAAAAACCAGAACATGGTGATTACGTAAAACATATGTTTCTTCAACGGTCAACGTGTCGCTGGCAAAGGAGAGCTTTGTTGAAACAGGCGGGGTCCTTTGCAAGTAGCATATACTAAAATATAAAAAATAGAGTTGCCTATCTATTCCAGGTAATTGAACGACATGAAATAATCAAGTAAGTAGCAAACGAACGCTAACTGAATCTGTAATACGAAATCTGTTTCCAGTAGGCACCGTACAGATGCTTGGGCAAATTAACTTCGATTTAGCCTGTCTTGCCAAGGGCAATAATATCGTCACTTTCATTAAAGTATTGGATCTAAAACAATTATATCAATCAACTCCCGAAAAAATTACTCAAACATTAATTCACTGTTTCACCGGTAAATAGCCGATTGTTTTCTTACGGCTACGCACCTTGAATACTCCGACGTCTGGATTTAAACGATTATAATCCGAGGATTCAACCGTTAATGTAAAGTCGACGAATTTTTGATGGGCCGACGCACCCGGTAATGGTCTTCCTAGGATGGACACTAAAATAACAGGAAACGATCTTACTTAAAGTCATCACAAAAAATATACTGTTTCGTATCCTTGGAAGCCGTGCATATGCTCATTACAGTTATAAAGGCGTATAGTAGTACAATTAGTTTCTATACTATAGATTACCAAGTCGAAAGGTAGAGGCAGACCATCTGTGATAGAGGCTTGAATTAGAATGAATGGAATAGGGGGGCGAAATTGAATGTGGGAACGCGACAAGTTCCAAGAATGATACGTGGTTTTTGTGTATTCTGAGCATTGCTTAGGGCGCCGTATATAAAAATGTTAATATCTTACAGAAAAAAAGAAACTTAAAAATTTTAAAATTCGTGAAGTGCTTCAGTCATACCTTCGTAGGTTTGGCCTGGCACATACTTCTGGGGAAAATTCTCGATCTCAATAAAGAATCCGTTGGTACCATCTAGTTTGCTTGAAGACACTCCCTGGGGCTTCCGGGAGCATATTGCTGTAGGAGCGTAACGCGCACTGTAATATCAATCCGCTTCGCGTTAGACGCGCTACTACCTTTTTTGAAATAAAGAGGAGCACTTATTCTACTCTAACGTGTCTTCGTTTTCCTGTATACACTTGCTTTCATCCCGAATAGTACTATACTAATACCTATACTCGGATGCGTATCTTATAAGGCGACTGCCAGTGAATATTTTCTTTAATTGAGTGACAACAATCGATTCTGCAGAAAAATAAAAGAGCTCTTGGATCGTGCAATACGCAACAATCAACCTATACGTTGATTAGATTTTAAGTCCTTAATACTATGTTGCTTGGTATGTACTGCCGATTTATAATGCTGGAAGCAGGAGTAGACTTGTACTTGGGCAAGATTAAGCGCACAATATAGAAACAATCGACACACAATTAGAAAATAAGATTGCAGCTCAAGCAACATCTATATTTGTTTACTACGTCAAATTATTGTCAAGCTATTCCATAATGTGCAGTACGCAAGCCTGTGAAATACTGGCAGCAAAAATAAGCTCTTAATATATGTTTATTTTTTAAACCGTAGATATGCATACAATATTGTAAAATCTTGACTAAACTTCTTAACCAAAAATATATAGAATCTTTCAGTCAAAAAATACGCAACTATTCTTTTAATGTATTTTTAGCGAGCTAAATAAGAAAAACGGTAATGATTTTCGGCAGTGTTAAATCCTAATTAGCTTCCTATAGATGAATCTTTCTGGAGCACTCCGTATATTGCACGTTCCAGTTGTGATACTCTTCTATAAATTGGCCGTTACAGCTGTCTTCTCTGGAAATGTTTAATGGGACAAATTAACGGCAACATAATGGCCTCAGCTACGCAGATGATATTCTCTTTCTGTTGGTTCTTTTATTGTCCATTTAGACGCGAAAATGTGGGTCGTATAACATTTTAGGTCATTAATACAATTATTATTCATTTTTAAAAAGAGCACGATCTGTTGTAGAGATCAGTCACCTGCTTCGTTGGCTGACATTAACTCTGTCGAGGTTATGTCATGGGCGACGTTTACAACGCGGTTAAAACTTCTTATTATATGGATTAACAGACCTTTTTTTGAAATTTGTCGGAATAAGGGTACAGATAGTAATTAGTTTGTAGAGTAAAATTTCGGCCACCTGTTTTCATGCTAAAGGTCAATCTAAAATCGGTGTAGAATCAAGGGCGAAATGGAAAAGTTAGTAGTACTATATTTTAAATTCAATATAATATTTACTTCAGAAGTTCTCCTTCGGTATGATGTATAACAAACTGTACGTCACGCATTCGGCTTACAATATGTATAACTTATATATATAATATTTTTTTAATATATTTTTTACACAGAGACTCTAAGCAACTCGTGGTGTCTGTTCGTAAGCTCAAACGAATAAAATCCAATATCGTCATTAACAGTATTATATATCATATATGGCAATTACCATATCCAATTCTCTGACTACTTAAAAATCTTTTTCAGTTTTCGCTTTATGGATGTGAGAATTTTTGTTGCGAGAATTGATAATTCGTTTTAGGTTACTATATTAATTTCCTAAAATCAAAGTGGATTTGAATTTATCGTACAAGGTGCAAAATTGCCCCATCCCGTATAACAGCGTACCTTTATATATATATATATATATATATATATATATATATCCACACACACATACACACATATATATATATATATATATATATATATTGGATAGGATATTTGGTCGAAAAGTTAGCATTGTCGAGCTTATAAAAATTTATAATTATAAAAACTTCGCTAAATATTTCTCTCAAAGTACGCAGAAAAACAGAGCGTAGTTAGACCCAGAGTTTCGAAAATTTTTGAAGTTCGAATAGAAAAGGTTGATGTAACGTTTTTTTGTGATAAAAAACTTTTATTGCATATTCTCAATTCAGAAGTTTATATACAGATAGCTGTTTTTTTAGCAGGTCAGTGCAATGATATCATCAGACAGACACGTCTGTGTTTTTGATCCGGAGGCGTATGCAGAATTCAACTAGCGCAAACACATTGTTATAGACACTAGGATACTATACGGGAGTACTAGAGCATATAAATACCATATATATAAAAAAAAACCAGAAACAAAATGCTCTACGAATATTTTGAGATGTCAAAAATTGATTTAAAAAATCTAACTAACAGTTACATTGCTCCCCAGTATTTTAATAATTGAGTGATTTTGTAAAATTTCAGTAAGTAAGCGTTTTTATTTCAACAACATCTAGTCTAGAAGACATCATCAAAGAAACAAACCACAGAGTATAGATATCGTCTTTTTGCTAATCCAACTCTAGTAGAAAACATGGTATTATAATGAGCGTAAGATATAAACCAAAATTAATTTTTAACTCAGCCTTACATTGGGTATCACCAATAAATATTTAATTATTAAACATTTAAGACATTATGAAATATTTAGGAGTTAAGTTTTGAGACTACGAAATTTCGTTATATTTCTCATACAACACGTATAATTCATGAAGATCACATTGTCAAACTGGACAGCACATCGAGGTTACTTAGTCATGTTATATATAACATCTTTGCTGAAAAATGACTCGCTATGATTTAAACTATACGTTTCAGGAGATAAAAAGTGCCTTATACTACTTTTTCTGCGTGTGTCTGCGACGAAACTCTGATGACGGTTTAACAACACAATTCGACGGACGAATCGAGGCTTTCAAACCTTACCGAACGCAAGTACATAAAATTATTTGAATAAATGTAACATTGCTTCTAACACAATGAGTAATAAATGTGGCTCTGGAGCCACACTTGAAAACTAAGCTTTGCAGACCACAGTGAAAGTCACGACAAGCATCGAGGATAAATCGCACCTCACTTTCTTTTAGCATTGAAAACACTGGTACCACCTTTTTTATTGGTTTACATCAAAAATTTGCGCTAATGCTGAATTATGTTGTGTGTACACAAATGGTAGTCGGCTTCATGATGCCGATGATGACTTTGATGGTCATGACATGACATTTCGTGAATGTTTGTCAAACCACAATCGACATTTGTGCGTGACGAAGGCTTGATCATTGATTGTTTCCGGCTCTATTTCGCCTCTTCAAAAATAGTTCAGTTCGTAAATACCTGTTTCTTCATAGAAAATCGTTCCTTAATAATCATTTATACTTGCAGAACACAGTGATATATTGTGTGTACTGCAAATATTAAGTTGTAATGACGGTTAATTATTGAGTCGAATCTAAATAGGCTAGGAGATATCTACATGTGGCTGCCTCGTTGAACCTATAATATACACTATCACGCAATAAGCGTAATAGTCACCGGAAAATCTAGGGTCTTCTTCGACTGAACAGCTGTCGGATACACGTCTTGTGAATTGTCTCGTTGAGACCTCGGGTGACATGTAAAGACCCACTGACTGGTTCCTCGTGCGGTCCTTCTATTTTAAGTGGGCTCGGATTAATCCATCAGCCAGTTATACCTTAAATGTCACTGCTAAGCTTTGTAACAGATCAGCGTAATCAATGCGTAAATAGTTCATACATAGAAATTAATGAAAAATATCGATTTTTTTTAACTTATTGTAATTTTTTTCATGAAAAAAACTATAACGAATTTATTTTGTACTTAAGTTAGATACGCATGCTTACGCAACTGTTAGGCACTTCTGCTTTTTACAGAAAGAAAAAAGATAGCTGGATTATTTGAGCATGGAAGAGTGACATTTTATAGGATGTATTACAACAAAAAGTCTCGGAAACCCAGGTACGGAAAAGTCTGAAAAAGTTAGAAAAAGGAAGCCTAACAGGCCGTTCAGCCTAAAATGGATGAGTTTTTTCGACTTTTCACAATAGACCTTTACTAGAATATAGCTCTTATAACGTGCGTGGTAACTTACGTTCTCGAAGGTAAATCGGTGATGTGAAGCTGTAGAAGTTGGGCAGCGGCTTTGTCGATGAAACACAGTGCCATAAGCACGAGAAAAATAAGCTCGTGCACTGGAAGCTTTCTACGCACTCCCGAGAACACTTCCAGGAGAAGTGTTACACGACTAATACACACCATCTTGATCACACCAATATGCGAGGCTTTACTTCAATTGGCAGTAAAGCTATCTCCGTTTGAGCATAATTGCATGTACGTATTCCTGGGAGAAACACTGTTGTTTATTAACATAAGATCACATTTGTAATAGAACAAGTTCTTTTTTGAAACACGCAACAAATTCATGCCAGAAATGCCAAGCTGAAGTATTGGTAAGTCACACCGTTCGTTGACTGTGGCGCATTGGGTATCAGTGCTTCAACTGCCTCAGCTCGTCAGGACGATCCCCTGTTTGAAACAAAAAGCTACACCGGTAAAATGACTACGCCAATTGATAGACATCGCAAATCGAGAATTTAGTATAATATATTAATTGTGATGAAGGCTGTGCCACTTGCCTAATGACTATTCCTCTGGGTAGAATGGGACAAACGTCCAAAGAAACACTGCGATAAACAAACACTCACATTCACCTAAACAGGGTACAGTGCACTACATCGCTTCAAATGAGCAAAAAGGCTATTCATACAGAAGTAGCAGAGTTGGGCGTACCGAAACCGACTAGAAAGAAGAAGAGCATCACTTTACAGTACTGGGGAATGGTAATATTATTCTCTGTTGAAGCCAAACACAATCAGGTTATGTATGTTCATTAGCTTGTTGTTGTTGTTGTTGTTGTCGTTGTTGTTGTTGTTGTTGATGTTGTTGTCGTCGTCGTCGTCGTCGTCATCGTCGTCGTCGTCATCGTCATCGTCGTCGTCGTCATCGTCGTCGTCGTCATCGTCGTCGTTGTCGTTATCGTCGTCGTTGTCGTTGTCGTCCGCACCACAGCTATTCTTCTACCATTTCAATCGTCACTATTCTAGAATTCTACTACAAAATCATCCAATTACACTGTACCCTGTTGTATGATAGCAGATTTGTTTTGTTCCTAAAACAATCTCCTGGTTGCCAATATATGCAGATGTGGGAGCTTTTTATGAAAGTACAATCCTTGTAACCCCTAACGCAGAAACGGAGTATTGATTATGCGAAAGGACCCGCGGAACAAGATGGACATTTTCAGTTGAAAGCGCTCCTTGAATGCGCGCACTAAATATTGGTTCTGCACGCTGTCGACGCTATGACGTCATATGATAACGACAAGGGGCCTTGACCGTCTTTAAAGGTCAAAAAGGTCCACCACACCTTTTGCTGCCAATAGTGGCCGGCTAAAAACTACCTTTCTAGTGTTCGTGCGGACTCAAGGCATATAAAGCGTCACCTGTCGTCCGCTTAAACTAAACGACGCATTTTTGTGGTGGGTTTTTTTTCATAACTCGCCGCGAAGAGGGTAACATTACGCGACTCAAATACGAGTGTATTCTAGGTGTCCTTTAAACGGAGACGACAACAGTCATCTTAGCGGAGCGTGAAGCCGCTCTTTGCCAAGACTTAGCAATACTTATTCGGTGGCTATTCTCTCATACACGCTTATGATGGTAGCCGTACGACCGAGAAGCTGTAAGATAATCTCCGCGTGGTACAGCTCTGCGCCTATCATCCGTGGCCGTTCGCTGCTAATCAAGCCAATTAATCAACCGTGTCGTAGTATGACTACGACATCAACTGCAATTTCCACTCTGCTGTTACTGACAGGAATGTATCCATGCTTCGCGAAGTGGGGGGAGCCGTCGACGAGATAGTTCGATGCGCATTTTAAGAATGAACTAACAGTAGTGTATAGAGTAAAATGCAAAACACGGGTAATTTTGCAGGACGTACATGTTCCGTTTCGTTGAGAACGCGTTCCTCCCGCTGTCGTGTGTTGTGGAAATGGGGCGAGTAGGCAATCTACAGTCCCTAAAAAGTAGAAAAAGCTACACCGAAGGCAGGCAGGAGCTGCACGTATTCGTTGCGTTACTCGCAGCTGCTGTTTTTTCCATATCGTGGCGCACGGAAGCGGCGGCTTTCCCTGTCGTTTCCATCGCCGCAGAGGCTGCACCAGGCGGTCAGGTACTCGGCGTGGCAGCTGGTTTCTTGTGCTCCTTCACAGCAAAGGCTGCTGGAAAGAGTAGAAGGCAAAACGTGGGGAGCTGAACTACGTCGAGGCAGTGACTGACGATCGTCGCTCGAAAACTCAACAGGCGATTACACAGCGGGGCATCGTACAGTAGGCGATAGAACAGCACCTCAAAGAAAAAGAATCAAAATGCTTAAGGTGAGGGCGCCGCACGAGATCTACAGAGAAGAGATAACAAACCGCCGAGGATGGCGAACTCCAGAGGGAACAGCAGTTGCGTCGCTCGTACAATACTATTTTGGACACCCAATGCAGCCTTCGTATCGTATTTACCCTTTCCATTGACCGGCGTCAACAGAGAAGCCAGACGTGATCAGGCTGTCGGCCGTCGCCAGCGCTCAACATTCGCTGACAGTGCTAGTTATTGTTAGCGGGCGGTGCGTTCAGGTAGCGCTCACCAGTCGTAGCAGTTGTAGAAGCAGTATGATTGGCAATGTTGGCGGATCGTTTTTATCGCTCTGACCAATACCTATCCGCTGACTCGAGTGACCAAGTAGAGCATCCGGTTCATCGTTGACGAACCCATCGCTCGATAAATACACACAGAATGCTGGGACGTTTGGCCAGCCCAAAAAACCACGTTTTATATACGGCACAGATTCCTGCTGATGATCGGATACCGTAGAAAAGATGAGTTGGCCATATGGCAGACAGGCATTATGGCACGACGAGTTCGTAAGCCGGCGTTATTGCTATAAGTCAATACCACAGTCCCACAGTCCGCAAATCATTAAAGATGCATCAGCAGATACGATTGTGGTAATGGGAGGTTCAAGCTTTCCATACTTAAACACCACTTGCCAATAACTTGTAGCTATTGAGCACTGATACATTTGGGTTGCGCGCCATGATGTGTCGTTAAGTGACACTTGGCGCCGAATCATAGAAGTTCGGCTTGAACTTGACACCTTAAAATATCAGTTTGTGAGCTCTATGCGTGCACTAACTTCTGAACAGTTAATTTGTTTGTATATTGTTTTGTTATTAAAGCTCTCATAGAAAAACTATTAACCTGGCACGCTACTCTGTGATACATTTAAATCTGTTTAAAGACTAGCAATTTCTTAAAATGAGTTAACGGTACCGTTTAGCATTGGTGCTATTCAATCATTTCTCTTTCTGGATCACAACTGAGCAGACAGCGTGCACCAAATCGAAAATGTTTAAAACCAAATGATGCTCCATTGTCTTAACATGTGCATGCTCCGTGCCTTAAAAAACAATTCGTCTCATCTTCAGTGTTAAGATTATAAAAAGAAAATCGTCGAAAAGAAATCCAATAAACCTTCTGATTAGAACGAGTCGACGTCTATATTTTATACTCCTGATTTTTACAGTATGATTATGTATGAGTTTAAGTAAAATGGATAAAGTAAATATATGTTTCACAGGACTTAAAATTAACTGTTTCATACGACGAGAAAAATCTAAACAGTGTGTATATATGTACAAAATACACTGACACTTCTACTTGGCTCGGCACATTTGAGGCTTGCTCGCGGCCACCTAGTCATTTGTTATACGTCGAGCTCTCCATATTTACCAAAAAATCTAAATACTGGTTAAATTATCTAACATAAATAGGAGATCATTAGAATTTGGACAACAGTTCTATAGTCGCCAACGAAATTGCTGAAATGGCGTACATCTGTGATAATCTCAAATCGTACTGTTAATAATAACTGTGACTCGTAGATCAGACTCATTGCTGACAAGGCTGTTTGAAGATTACCTGCACGCCGACGTGCATCGCAGATGTGAATAAAATGCCAGAAATAAATCCATAGTATAAAGTAGCATTGGAGTATTGATCACGACCGTGGAAGTGCGTTTCCGCATAGACACAGTAGAGGTTAGAGCCAAACTATTGGCTCTTATACGCAATATTTGAAGACCTGTGCTCCTTAAGCTTTTTCTTTATCAATATGTTTCGCTGGTAACACAGTTAGCACCATACTAAGAACTCGTTTGACGTTCCTTCGCATCGAAACAGTTGCACAATTACACTCGTTTTTTTGTATACACGTGAGATAATTATCTATTGACTTCAACCTGGATGCCTCGAATTGTTCAGAACAAAATTTTTTTAGATTATATATTCCTGGTTGCCTTTAATTCTTATGAAATAGGAAAATATTGCTGTTCTACAAGCTCTTACGATTTACGCACATAGTTGTCAATGGTAGAGAAAGACGACTGATTCTGCTTAAAAATATCTGCGCAGTACCCTTTTATGAAGATGTAGCGGGTTCTTACTTAGGTTGTGGTGTTAGAAAATAACCTTATTAAAGTGTCATGTGCGGTTCATAGTTTACTATATTCATTTAGGCAGCTTCTAAGCGTCCTGATAACATATTCGAATCTGTTTATATTGCATATTGGATTGCCGCCAAGAGGATACGGCAAGCTTCGACTTGTAACCACTAACTGTACCGATAATATTAGTAGACGATATTTTATTCATTATACATTTACAAACTTTATTGAGAATAGCAAAAATCATATATTCTAAAGTCACCGGGTGTTATTATAGCATCTCTTGTTACCAGCCTCTTATAATGTAAGTTGAATCAAGAGTTTTACCAATTATTTCAGAGCATACAACGTCAGGGTATTACTTGCACGAGTCGCAAACCTTCATAAATCATAACATAGCTTTCTAACTGATTGTAGCGAAAATGGTAAAAAGGCAGCAAGTCCTGTCAACTTTGTTAGCTAAAATATCTGAACGTTCACCAGTGCCCGAGTTGACCAATGCAGCCTCGGGGACGCGCCTGATCACCTTACTGATGCTACGAAACGAGCTTAATAATTAGATGGTCAAGTATTCGTTCGAGCAGAAAAGATTCCAATGCTTCGCTAATTAATTTCATTTCAATGAACGCTTGTGCCTTTAGGCTAACGTAAATTGTATGCGACAGAGTAAAGTTGAAATTGAATTATTTACTGAAAACATATTGATTGGACTGGCAAAGATTTGTGAATTATTCAATGCTTTGGCCGTTTTGCTTGTTCTCTGTTCGGCGTCATTGCGGGAGAAAATTTGAGAAACGAAGGAATGCGCGTTCGCTGTTCTAAGGAAGTTCACGATTGTCTGAATCATCGACAAAACAAACCAGTTAAAACAAATAGCTTGTTATATATATTCAGTTCACCTATACAAAGTATGTATTACGTTTAAGTTAATGTTTGACGTATAGTTAAACTTTATACATGGTACAAACGGGCACCCTAGGCACTATATATAGGAATCTTTTTTACAGAGATACCTTTCACTATTTGTTACATGTTTCGGCTTTTTAACAACTTACGTATTTCTAAGCAACAAGTTTTCCATGCTCAAAATTTTTCAGTAATTCGTTTATTAGGATCACTGAATTATGGTTAGAATATTCGAAAGAATTTGCGCATTCCGTAACCATCACGTGCAGTCTATGCAAATTGTTCAGGCTTAACAATTTAAAACAAAACCTTATCACATAATCTTGTTGTTTTTGAATAAGAATACGCCTTCTACCCTGAGAAAGTTACAAACGCGCAAGTATGCACTGAGATTGAGATGACACAAAATTTTCAAGTCTTGTTGTCACTGCAGCTCACTAAATGAAATATACAATTCGATAGTAATCATCTTCATCTGTGCTCACCACACAGCCTGAAAGACATTAAGGTTAGTCTTTATGCGACCTGAATCTAGTTGTTATGTCCTAGATATATTTTATGCATATATGAATATATAAATTGTAGAAGACAGAATTCACTATAGCTGGCTTGACGGTATCGGCTCAGTTTTCAGCAGGCTATGAACCTGATTTGAAATTGAAATGGAGCCTTGTGTACAGTACTCTACACTGTTTTGGTCAATTTGGTCGAGGAAGTATCGATAATTAACCATGAGCGAACATGAGTTCATTAAACCTCGTTGTGACGTGTCTGCTAGCCAGTTGATTCGCCAGAGCACAGCACCATTCTTCAAATGGAAATTCGCTGCAAGATTTGAAAAGAAAAGATGCGAAGTTGAGACAATTAATTCCGTGCGTAGCGCGATTACTCTGGCAGTTTAGGTCAGTTGTTCAACTAGGGTGTGAGGGAGCTTTTAATAGACGCATTTCAATTACGTTCAAATTAATCAATTTTTCGGTAGGCTGTTATGATTTAATAATAAAGCTTTTAAGTAATAAAAATCACTCCGCTGAAAGCCTATTGCTATCGATACAAATCGAATTGAATTAAATCAGGTAAAATAGTACATGGCTACTGCTGGATACCATTACAAGCATTTGTGGAGCTTTATTAAAGACATACAACGGTGACATCGTAAACGAGGATGTTAAATGATAATAAACAATGGAATGAATATTCCGTTCAAGCACCCCTCAACTGGACCTTGGACATAATCTCGATTTTACATTCTCTTTCAAGTATAGGAGTTTCAGATACACGTTTTCGAACGTAGTGCATTGTGGATTATTTTTTTTACTGTTTATATGGGTAAAATAGCGTCATACCAACTCCGTTGAGGGCAAGTCCCCGATGTTTCTCCTGGTAGAGATACTGGGCGCAGAGCTTCATAAGCGGTTTACGTAATCGATCTTGCAATACGTCGTTTTTATACCACAGGTGACTCCGTATCATCTCGTGAACCATTGCCAGTGCCTCGTCAACATCGGCCTCATCTGTGATTTCCTGTAGCTCCTGAGGTGTGAACGGAGATTGACGCGATCCTCGCGTTACCTGAAATTTATCATGACGGGAAGCATTTTCAAATATTGGATATAAATACTTGGATTTTTTCTGATCCAGTGTTGTGTGAGCCACACGCTCTAGTATAAACGTAACGTAACGTCCCTGTATTTTGTTTTTTGATTGCACTTAGATCATAGTGTACCGGGAAACATCTACCTGAGTCCAATTTTCATTCATAATAATAACCTGAACCAGTCCGTTGAGTAACCAGTCTCGGAAACCGGGGATCGGTGAAAGAGTAGAGAACGTACTAAGATTTGGGTGTTCTGCCTGCAGGTTACGAACAGCGTTCTTGATTAAATGTTTGCCAAGCTCTATACCCTGGAGACCTTTTTGAGTAGACGTTATCGAATAAAAGATCGCAGCTTTCACCTGAAATACGAGCAAATCCGAACCAAGTAACGTGGGTTTATTTTTAATTACGTAAATAAGTGAGCACCGATTCGTTCTATGCAATAGGTAGAAATTTCTCTAATTTTTAGTCTGAATAAGCGTGACCATATCTTCTGATGAAATGAGGATCTGGACAAAATTAAACTTAATTACGCGGCTTATATATTAATAACTAAAAGTCTAAACATAATTCAAATTTCAAGAAAATTATAAAAAAAGACTTAAACGTTTTTGTTTTGTTCCTAAACAAGGACAAAACCTTGCTCACCTGAGAAGGATCCTCCAAGTCGTCCACGGAGGCTGCAAGAGAAGTCGAAGTTTGTAACGTGTCGATGGACTCAAACGATTTCTGATGTCGCACAATATCCTGAGGTTAAACGGAACATGGATAAATAATGATGAGAAAGAAACAACGAACATGTAAAGTACCTTCTTTAATAATTGCTAAGTTAGTAAACAACCCATTATTCCCAGTCAGAAAGATTTTAGATCTTTAAAAAGAAAAAAATTAAGTACCTGTATAGAGATCTAATGACGTTCGATACCTATATTACTTGATCTCTGCTAATTCTACGACTAAATAAACGATAAAGTTTGTAAGCGACGGGCATAATTTTCTAATTTCTGCCATAAATCAACCTCTCATTCTTAGAATTTAATGTACTTTAACTAGAATAAAAAACTTGACTACTTTGATGCTATCGGCGATATGCTGCATGAGCGCAGTATGCAGTACCACAACCGGCTCGCTTGGCATTGACGAATGACAGAACACAAAGCACCGCCGGTAAGAACCAACGCGACGTTTAAGATCTAACCAGCCGCGTACCGGGTGCACTGCTTCATATTCCGAGATCTGCAATACGATTGGGACAGCGTTCAAGTTTTCTTTGTTATCAATATATTATTCCGGTCCTATTAAATTCGGACGTTTCGACCTCTCTCCGCAACTTTAAAAACTTCAATGAAGTTGAAGATAGCAAAAATATATGAGAAAATAAGGAAGAGGTGAAATGTACCTGCAGATAATGTATTGGCCAATTTCAGCCCCAACGTACCTTTTGCAGCATTTGGCACGGACTTTGCCAGGTAATCCGTTCAACTTTCATGAGACCAGCAGAAAACCAAATCGAAAGGAGATCCTTTAGCTGTCCGCTCATCGCTCGAACGGCAGATACATCCGTTCCTCCCTTTGCTATTAGGTCCTATATCGTAAAAGAAGGCAAACAAATATTAGCCAGAAGTAGTTTAAATGAGAGGTAAAGGCGGGTAGGATACTGGGTACGCATGCTTTTTCTAGAATGCACACATCTGACACAATAATTGACTGTACAAGTACTTTACTTCAAAAATTACAGGGTTATAACAACCCGCCGGTATGACTTCTGGATAGAATTATATTCTTTCGTATAAAATACTTCTTAAGATTATTCGTAAATCTTTTTCTGGTTTGTGTTTTCCTGAGAGGTAACAGGACTCTCTTTCGAGTTGGTCCAGTCAAGATTTTTAGTCTTTGCTGAACATAAATTATATTACCAGGAAAAATCACAAATCTGGGTTTGTTTAGGTTCGAGCGGGAGCCTTCGAGTAGTAATAGCCAGAAACAGGGACTATCAATAGCAAACAATCAATCTTGTGCTTCACACGTGAAATCACCCATAGGACGTTCGAGCATATTACCTATGGCGCTAGAGATTAGCAGATCCTCTAGACTAACAATTCCGCGTGAAGCTAATTATCAACGACACACTGGCTGAATTTGTATCGATTTTGTAGCTTTACGTAGCCAATAAAGTTGGTGAAACTCTTTTAAGACTCCTATCAATGCACGTTTTGATATTCTTAATATCGAATTAAATATTTCAATCAAAGGGTAACGCTATTGGGATATATACCATCATATGCCCACGAAGATCAACAAGAAACTTAACTCCGCCTTCTAATTTTCCAATCTGCTGGAAAAGTTCCATATAGCGTGGGGTGAGCGCAATACGAAGTTTCTCCTCCAAACGTACGGATGGAATCTCCTAAGACGACAAGACCAAACGATATTTATACAAATTTATTGAGACTTTTTGGATAATATAATAAATTATGTGTTTAATATCAAGAGTTTACGAATCAGACAATATTAGCAGGCACAAATGTTAACGGGTTTATTACTGCAAATATGTGTTTTTTCAAGTTGCTGGATTGTGTCGCAACGATATTTATACAGATCTTCATAGGCTTTCCAGTTGAGTTTAGAAAGACTCTGAAAAACTCGTTCTTTAATTGTTTGAATGGGTAATTATTTATTTGGGTTCTGCTATAGCGGATACCTTAGAGCTTGTGCTGTAGGAATAATTAAGTCTTATGGCGCCAGATATTCAGCAACGACAAAAATACGGCAAACATTGGTTGAAACTTCATATCTAAAAAGCGGCAACAGGTCAGTAAATTAATTGCAAAACCTATATTCCATTACCTAATACGTTGCAGCACACGTTTGTTCAACGGGATCTGCTGGTTACACAATGCAACACAAACGTAATTTTGTGTTATTTTATTTCTGTTTGCGAATAAGGCCACACATTTTATTACAACTGAAGACAGGCATTGTTGGTAACGGCTGATAACTACGGAAAACTCTACCCTATTGATCTACAACACAATCAGAGCATCAAAACGCCTGCCCAATTAAAAACCAGTCAAAAGCACTAGCGGAAAGTTGATCTATGAAAAAGTCATGGGACAGGTGTCAAGAAATAAAGGAAATTTAAATGTAAACGTAAATGTGAAAAGGATAAAAAATGGTATTGGCTTCTTGATTCAATAGCATTAGTTTTAGTCATCCAAAGTGCGAACGTATATATATATATATATATATAGGTGTTTGTTTAAACTTCGCAGCTCAGTACTTTCTGCTATCTGTGCAGCATACTATATTGTGTAATCATCGCATTATATCTTTTTGTGAACAAATATTTAAAGCAACAGTCATAGTCAGGCGAATATTATGCAGACATAGTCGTAGATTCCGTTCGGTTTAGTGTCGAACCTTTGACAATAATTATCGTTATCAAAATGAGGTCCTAAAACTATTTCTTCCCTCTTTATTATTATTAAGTCCCTCTTGAGAAACCAAATTATAAGTTAAGCGCAATTTTCGCTGTTTTTTCAGGCAGGAGGCACGTCGTGATAACAATACCGTAAATCAATTGCACATTTCGTATAGGAGAAACGAACATTTTGTTATAATAATTTGTAACCAAGACTACGTTACAATCCTTCTTGAGCACGAAGAACTATCCTCAGCTAAGCTTCATCAACCATATTAAAGCTACAGCGGTTTATAGCAGGTGGAATTGACCCTGTACTCTCATGAAATTAAGTATCCAGCGGTCGATTCTGTAGATTGTCATAAGTCTGTAGTAATTTTACTATAAACAAAACGCGCAACTATGTTTGATACAATGGTTCGCACCTGATTATCTTTAGTGACATGATCAATGTAGTGCTGTGCAGATGTAAGCACTTGTTTATGATCCACGTCGAAATCCTGTGCCAGCTTCTTCAGAAATCCAAATTTGGCCTCTTCGTTCAAAGTTTGGTATCGCTTGCAGAGTTCGCGTACCGGCTGTAGTGTAAAAACGTATTTTTAGTGTGGAATATGAAATCTATAGTCAATAGGCAGTACCTATAATTGACACGACAAAGGTAAAGCATCATACAGACGCAGCGTGTTTTAATTGATTAAATATTGCGTATTGAATTTATTTTTTATTGATTAAAAATTTGGCGTAATGACAATTATCCGAAACCACCTGGTTAGAAGCTATATCGTATTTTTCATCTACTTAGTAAGTAAAACAAAACATTACGCAAAGCATAATCGTATTGCGTACTGTATATTGAGTACCTCTGAGCTCTGTGGATTTCGTGAATCTTTAGCAGGGTCAAGTGTCTCCCGAAGGAGCTGCTCCACGCTGGCTGTTATCTTCTGAGTCATTGGTACACTACGAAGGCCTTTTGCGCAGAAAGACCGATATGCTGCCTAAAATTACAAACAGCAACTGATAATAATAATAATATCGTTCACTAGCATTTAGCTCCTCCTTTAAACATGCAGTTTTCAAAGGTTAAAGAAGTTTTCAAAGGTTAAAGAGAGTTTTAATCTGCCTTTCAACCGTCGCAAACCAAGCATACAATCATTCTTTTAACATTCGTTTGTATTACATAGGTAAAGTTATTAGTTTTGTCTATTTGCAATATCGGTACATTTTGTGAATTCGAGCAAAGAATAAAGTACAACGCATGTCAAAATCAGGTTGAGATTTTGAATTTGGAAGCTCATCAAGTTTTAAGTTAGTTAAATTTATACCATCTGTAATAGAAATCAATAGACGAGATTTTAGAAATCACAATTTACGAAGCGCTTCATGCAAATCGTTTGAGATATCCGTAAGTTATATTTTTTTGTTACAAATGCTATCTATATATAGAACTGCAGAAAAATATTCAAAGCCATACCGATTATAGATAGTGAAGTAAATTTTTGCAAGAAGATGTCTTCGGAGAAAGATACGCCCTTCCTATTTAGGCGTAACCTTTTTGCCTGAGTTGGCGGTGCAATATTGTTTCTAATCAGATAGAGTTAGCACAACAATTATTTGACGACAGTACGTTCACAATAACTTAAAAATAATAATAAATGATCAAACATAGGATATATTCTGCTGAATATAATTACCAAACATTTTATTGGGTGGAAAACGCTTTTCTATGCTCTGAAATGATATTGTTGATTAGTGTAATTCTATCATTGTATACGAAGCCGAGGACTTACAATGCAGAATTAGACAAGCTTTGCGCAGGGTAAATTATCCGACCTTTTCTTGAATACGACATCCATTGTTAGAGACTAACTTACGTCCCTATTCCTATTTTGCCCTTTCAATTTTCTTGGAGTCAGTTCTTTTATATTAATAGCTGAAACAGTTCGCTGCTCACACGGAACATTGTGATAATCTGCGTACTCCCGATCATATCCGGTATGCTTGTGATATCTCAAGGAGCCGACGAAATGATTTCATTATACACGATCACCAAGTTTTTCGATCTTTACCAATGAACAAATGGAATAAAGATTACGCGCAATCTTAATATTAGTCAATTGGATTAACAGAATATCTGTTTTTTTTTTAAAGTTCCACTTGGAATAAACGGGCTAACGATAAAGATATCAACAATTAAATAAGCATATATACATATGCTTATGTAATAGACATGTATATAGATATACACACATCTGCCTCTGGGTAGTACTGCTATTCTGCTGGTCGACCAATCGGCAAAGAATGTTCGGGAAAGGGGTTCAATCTCTGCTAGTGGCGCGAATCGCTTCCTCTCTCCGCAGTGAATCAGTGACCCACTTGCTTTTGAATACCGTTGAAGTTGTTATCACTTATAAAAGAGTATATTCTTTCTGTTGCGATATTTCCTTATTTCGTTTTCGTCACGTACGACCACTATCTATGCTGCGCGAAGTGCCTTCTCCACAACATTTCTCTGACTATCACCCAATCAATCGGTCACAGAGATCACGAGAAATATAGGCGCAGAAGTGTCGATGATATCATCAGCAGAGGCCTTATTCGAAAAATACGCAGCGGTAAAAAAGCCTGCTTTTCTGTAATACATCACGAGTGTAACGAACCTAATGAACAAATCCGTTTCCTGACCACTCACTGCAGCATTTCGGCACCTCAATACCGAGCTGTATTCTCACCTTTAACATCTCAGGGGGCGCTGATGATCGGGTTGTGGCAACCAACCCCGTGGTTCGCTTGCGGGGTACCGTAAAGCTTAAAGCTTTCGGGAAGACGAGAAAGATAGAAGCGGGTAGAGTGAATAGGCGCGAGCAACGAACCCAACAAAGCGCGCTCGCTTAACTTGATTCACTCAAATACAAAGACGCACTTATAGACACCCGCGCGCGCATATGCACACGCAAAAACTGAGTGAAACTTTTTGGCGCGCTCTAGTTGACGGATTTTTTTTCAGGCTGATAGAATGGCCAGGTGCTATACGTCAAACTTTGAAGTTGCACACTTTGTTTTAATTACGTTGAGCACTGCGATATAAGACTTACGACAGATGGAAGCAACAAGTCGAAAGAACTTTCGCAAACACCTAAGTTGGCGCGTATAAGGACTTATTTTGTCATATAGCAACCAGATCACAGACAGCGACTATGGTAGGTCTATTTATCTATTTGCTATCCCAAATGACTCTTTTTCACTTAGCTTAATTTATCTGCGCCCTTATACCCAGCAGCACCATTCACCGCAATCAGCTGTGCGAGAGGTGAGTAGTGAGGCCGGCATGTGTGCTCACGACCACCGCTACAGCAGCCACAAGCGGGCAGGCGGTTGTGTAGCCGTGGCATTCTTGTATTGGATTGGGGATCTCGCCAGCAGCCCAGCCGTATTGAACGCGGCCGGCGTACATAACAATCATCACAACAGACGAAATGTCTGGTCGCCATCGAAGGTACTAGGCGGTGTTAGTTGAACTCAATGATCTGGTAACGAAACATTTGAGGTAAAAGATTCAAAACTTTATTTGTTTCTCAAAAGTATGATATAGTGAATGTATTCTAATATCTATTTGCCGCACCAATCATCGAGTTGTTTTCTTTTGCAGCTTTCACATGATGCAAACAAATCGTGAATTTATGAAATAATATATATATATATTGAACTAGTCATACTGAAATGTGTAGTACTCAGCATAGTTTAGCTTTAACAAACTACAAGGTTAAAACTTCGTGCCACTCGTAACATTCAGTTGAATTTTCATCACTATGCTTAGTATCTGTACGCAGTCAATCTTTTGGGCTACGGGTTTTGTCCAGGCTTGTTAGCTCCTTTTAGCTCTGGGGAGCCTTGGATTCATTGAAATATTTTGATTTTAGGTGTTACGAAGGTGACATATTGGGTATTTCCCTTGTTTATTTACGATGCTTTAGATCTTTTGCATTTTTGGATTAGCTGACAATAATTGACGAAGGTTTTGAAAGTCGAAACACAAAACGATTGTAAATCTATCAAATGTTGCGTAGATATTGCATATGTGGTACACTTACGTTCCCTTTTTCGTTCGGTTTAAAAACATATTAGGATAACGAGGAGGATTATTCTCACGCTTCTAAACACTTTTCAAAGTTCTTGCTCACCTGATTGTCTTTTGTGAGTTCTGCTAGCAAGAAAGAATACGTGAACGTCGGTAACTCGTAGGGGGTAACATTACTGCTAAGCTGGACAAGTACTAGTAGTATTGTTGCACGAGGACTTGATAACAAGATATTTCAATAGTTTAGTAGTAACTATCACTGCAACCGTAGATGTCGTTTGGATGCCTGCCCAGAGAGTTAGATCATACAGACAGATGGAACCTGACTAGTTAGCTTGCTAATCTGAATGACTGTAATTCTGGAGGCAGCTGCCTTGAACCTCTTTCCTAACCAGCGTTATCCAAGGTCTGAGCTAATCATCTGAGAACTTGCTATTCATAAAAACAATATAATTATAATAGTCACGATGATATTGGTATTATAAACCGTTGCTTTTTGTTGAGATACCTTGGCATCAAGCTTTATTCAAGTGGGTCAAATTAGAATAAAGGGCTTTTTGCAACATACTATCTACTGTAGGCAAATAACTGAAGGGTTGAAAATGTTTTTTGTGTTGTTTCGATCTTCGCTTGAGAAAGGGATGGAGACGAATAGAAAGTGAGGTAGTCGCCTGGAAAACCAACAATAATGGTCAAATTATAATTTGTCGAAATTAAATTATCCCTTATTAATGAAATTCAGATTTACTGGTATTTGTTTAACAATGTTACATTGATATACCCACCGCTTATAATGTATCACCGATAGTAAACCAGTAGAGCAATGCTGTCTAGATCTTTTTGTCTGGAATAAGAATATGCTATATCGAACCTAAACGCGACTCCCAAATTGGCATGTAACATCGGTTCGGTTGAACTTTTATAGCTAGCCACCTAAAATTTCTACAGGTATGCGGTGATGAACAATATCTCGCCATTACATAGACCTACAGTTTACAAGGAAAACATTATTGAAATACATTCTATTCATATTGAATTCAATTGATCTTTCAGGCGATCGTTTGCTCTGTATCGAGTCGATCTCAAAAACAAAGATTGCAGTATATACGCAGGAAGCTCTCAGCAGAGTGCTGCATCAGACTGCTATAGACGCGCTAGTACTGTCCATTTAGCAAGGAAACTGTGGCATTGCAATATAGACAGAGCTAGATTTGGTCGCTTATTTCACAATGATCTTCGATATAATGAAGCAGCAAGAAGAGGCTAAGGCTGCGGCCCTGAAACACGTAGTTACGATGCTCCAAATACCTGATCAACTTGACAAAGTACGTACAGAAAGTAAAAAGCTTATTTTTTATTGTTGTCAACATATGACGAGGTTTTATTATTCCGCTCAACATCTCTAAGCATAGACACCGAGTACGGCTCTAATGCCTCATTTTAATCGTGCTCTATTAGTTTAAAATTAATCTATACATTGTAGAGAATAGAAATGGAACATTAATGTAACCGAATGGTAGGTAGAGCTATGTTGAGGTTTACCATTATGCGCTGCTTACAAACACGTCCAGCGAAGGATCGCATTAAAGTCACCATATAAACCGGGCTTTTTCCTGTTCCTGGTGATATTCGTTCATGAATTTAGTTTCATATTTTTATGTGAAATATTGAAAAACCAGCTACGGCATGATTGGCCTGGATTTTTGCTAAAAGCAATAACGCCATGATTCATACACATGATTTATTAGCTGAAATGTATCTAGCAACGTAACCATACTAATAGCGCGTCACCTATGAATTATATAAACAAAAGGAAAGGTTCGTTACGACTTACGAAAGCAACAGAAAAGGCGCCGATGTGAATGTGCTAATAAACATCATAGGCACGAAACATCGCTTGGGGTCATCTTGAAGATTAAATGGACAGCGGTCACGAAGGCGACGATGATTCATTCGTGAGTATCTGTGGGGCTGTCAGTCACTATGACGCAACGTTTGTTATGTTTTGTGTATGTTTTTGGCATCCTAATAAACTTAATGACCAGAGCAAATAATCTATGCACTTACTGTGTACACATTCACACCGCTAAGTTGTAACTAGTAAATTATTGTGGTCGATTCGATACGAACTGACTTCTCGATATAAGTAGATTACGAATCGAAAAAAGACCGTGTCGCTGGGATAACAGATTATTCACCAGTTTGTTTACGAAGCTAGCCTGGATCGGTATAATATTGAGTAACAGGGAAAACCCCCCGAATCGTTGTTAGAATCTCATTTGCTAACTATTTTACGTAAATACTAAAGATATCATGCACTAAACCAATAGTGTCATTCTATGCACGTCCATAGAATATTTCGTGCAGGTGACTTAATAACTTTCTAATTATTACTGACGGCTGTCGGAAAAAAACAGTTTAGTGCTCAGCTTTTTCGTCAATTTCTGTATGTGCTGTATAGCTTTGGAAAGCTCTAATCTAAAAGACAACGTTTTATTTAGGTCATAAAATATTCCTTTAAGTTCTTCTCTACCCTAAAAAGAGGAGTACATGAGTTAAAAAAAAGAGAAAATTTGCAATAACTATTTTTGCCGATGTTGGAATGCCGCCGAAGCAACCTAGGACGTTCATTTCTGCAACAAAGATAATTCTACAGTTATGAATGCTCATCTAGAAGCGGAACCCATCGAAGTTTAATAGCGATTTTGTCAGCAAATCACTTCTGAGTGGCACTCTCAGCTAGAGAATCCTTGTTTTACTCAAAGCCGGTCGATACCCTTTTCTTTAGTGGAAGATCAAACATAAAAGAGGTCAAAAATACATTTTTTTGCTACCAGACCTAGCGGGTATCGAGATTTAGCTTGAAATTGATTAAAAATTGTGATACATCGTGATAAAAGAATCACGATTGTCTTGCTACCTGAACGTATTTAAGGAAACAAAAGCTTATTCTGTTTTCCTACTGAAGCTGAGGGGACGGTGCCGTGTGATCATCTAAATGTTTTTTTTATTAGAGATGGTATATACTTAATTATTAATTATGTTGAATTGTTTGGCTATGAACAGGTAGAGCAGCACCGAAAACGAGTTCAGCGTAAAAAAGCGTCCGTAGAAGCGATGCTCAAGACAGCGGTCCAATCACAGTTGGAGGGGGTACGAACAGGCATTCTGCTACTGGCAGCTGCCAGAGATGATGTAAACGATATACAGAAAAAGCTCGATGAAGCCGATACTATTTACCAAGACCTCTCCAAACTGGCCGTCCAATTACAGGTCAGTGCGTTTCCTTTAATGTCATGTTGTGTTTCAACATCGCTATCAATCAAAAACCTACTAGTAATGATCTGTACATTTATTTCTAGTTATAGTTCTTCATTGCACAGATACGTTCTACAGACACATTAGCACTTGTTCTGACTGTTTCTTGTTCTAAACTGGGTTTCTCTAATTCGCGCAAGCAAGCACCTTTGTTCAGCAATTCAATAAATATTTTAATAAGTATTTTGCTTAAATAGGATTTTAGTAAGAAACTATTCTAGCAAAACATATCGTTTTAGCGTGGCAGTCGTGAAACGTACTAGTTACGCATGGGATATAAGAACGAACGTCACAAACGTTTTCCAGACGACCAAGACTCGTAAGCAAAATACAACTGTGGGGCTCTCTTATAGACAACGTCGTTGAATTCCTTTCATGATTTTTTTGTGACTTCCAGCATTAATGTTGTTTTGCAGGTCAGACTAAACATATGCAGCTAATTATTTCTTTAAGGATTATCCTAAATTGGACTCTTATGATTAAAAAATCGTTCGACAGTGCTTAAACTGCGAAAAACATTTTTTTGTATTGGTCAGGACGTTCGCGAAGAGAGTTTTCGGCATTCACAAACAGGTACCCTAATGGAACATCTGAAACACATCTTCAATGTTCCTGGATCTATAACTCGAACCCAGGATCTAATTCAGGATGGCAACTTACTTCTCGCCCATAAAGCGTTGTCGGATCTCGAATGTTCTCGTGATGAGCTTCTTTACGAACTGCATAAACAGGCTAATAATCAGGCCAGCGACCGAGCGATGCTCAAGCAGTATTTCGCGGATGTGGAAAGGCTCAGTGACGAGTTAGCAAAACAGTTGTGGTTAATTCTAAAGCGCACGCTTAATACAGTGCGTAAAGAACCGCAGGTTTGTTATTCCTTTTTGAAGATCTGATTATTCACGTAAAATAAATGTAGAAAAGTAAAATGCAACGTAAATTTCCAATTCGTAAAAATTTGTAAATCGCATAGCTACACTAATATATTAGCCAAAGTATAATACACCATGAGCATCGAGACAAAAAAATCTTGACTTGGCCTAAATCCTACATTTATGAATCTGGCTTATGCATAATCGGCCTTGTGAATGATTTAATAGGTGATCGTGACCGCCCTACGACTTATCATGCGTGAGGAATGGGCTGATGAAGCTGCGCTGAAGCGCCAACAATCTACAGGATTCTTGCCGCCAGGACGACCTAAATTGTGGCGGAAGAAGGCAATCGAAACGTTGGAACAAAGTGTTGCTGAAAGGCTAGAAGGGAATCAGATTGAAGTGCGCAGCGAAAACAACATGTGGCTGGTATGAAGAACCTCTAAAGAGTCTGTAGTCCAATCAAATCGGTTCATTTATACAAGTTGTTAAAATGGATGTATTAGACAACAAGAACGTCGTTTATACTACTGGTAAAAAGCAAATAATATACATTTTTTTTGGCTAAAAGTAACTAGACAGTACCATGTGGGTTCCAACGTTATGCAAACAGTGGCATAAAGTCGCCTCATGCGACGATAACAAAAAATAAATCGTTTATTTTCTAACTTTTTTTTTGTAAAAAACTTAATGCTTGACAGGTGCGCCATCTTGAGGTAACTCGTCAGCTCATCATCGAAGATTTGAAGACGGTAAAGCACCACTGCACGCCATGTTTCCCTCCGTGTTTCGATATCTTCAATGAATGGGTCCGAATGACGCACAACTGTCTGTCACAACGTCTACAGACAATAATATCGCAGGTAAGGCTTGTTGAAGAGGTTAGCGTTACATATAAAGAGTATCTAGTACTTCTCTCAGCCCTACATGAAGTACTGAATTCACAACTATTCATCAAGCCATAAAATGTAGCTTAAGCTGCCAACGTGGCTTTTAGCTATTCTGAATGCTATTCTTAAGTATTACATTTCAGGGCCTAGTGGACAGTGAATACATTCATGTGCTGCAATGGCTTAATACCTACAACTCGAGAGAACTTATGGGCCACCCGGATCTTCACGTGGACGTATCTCGCTATGAGGCGCTTCTTCCAGACTCAACCATTGAACGCCTAATGGAGCGTTATTTGGCTGGGTTGAGAACAAAGTTTGAGGAGTGGCTTCGCAATGCTTTGTCTACCGATCATAAGGACTGGCAAAAGAATGAAATGCCCGAGCAGGACTCTAACGGTGTTAACGATTTGATATCCATACTGTAGTTCATAGTTTTGCTCCTACTTTCAGTATAAAAAAGTTTCCAATGTTTCAGAGTTACTGTACACTTCAGTTTAGTTCCTAGAACCAGAGTTGAGCTAAAGGTCTGGCCATTCCAGCTTCAAAATTATTTGGTACGATGACTCTTATATCAATCATGAAATTTCCAGGATAGCAGAGTTACTAATTTTCTTTAGATTGAGAAGTTCCTAATATTAGCCTAATAATACGCACCTGTTATATTAACGATTGTGAACGTTCTATTTATTATAGGATACTATCGCACAGAAACTCCAATGTTAATATACCAGATGATCACTCAGCATGTTGAAGTGGCGCGAACCGTGTCACTGGACTTGGTTTCTCGAGTCCTAAGACTTGCAATGAACCGGATGGATTATTTTCTCAGTCAGTATAATCAGCTTGTAACAGACTACAAAACAAAGAACTTTGAAGACCGGTGAGTATTCAATCCACTCATCCAGTTTTATTTATTCACCTTTGCTGGAAGCAGTCAAAAACTTAGTAAATACAGATCAGCAAAAGAATACTCCAATATTAGAGAGGGCATGTAGGACAGTTTGCATCGTATGGGTTATACGAGTCTTGTTGAGTTTGCAAAACTAATTGGAGCGATTTGCCTGTTGTGCTAGAGGTGGTCCTAAAGGCGAGCGGCACAATATCCGTCACAATTATCCCCGCATCTGGAGCATTTACATGTACCATGCATCTCGTAGAAACCTAATTTTTTACAAAGTCTATGGTGGAGTACATGTACGCTAAAGTGACGATATGTCTGTTTAACCGATTTGGCCCCTTCCACTCATAGTTCCTCATCCAGGAGTGGCGAGCTGATTAGGAGATGTGTGAGGCAATTTCGGGTTACTACTTGTAGTCCCACTGCTCCATTGAGGAAAGAGACTTTAACACGGTCTGAGTGTTCAACGTCCTCCGCTGTGAAATTTTATCAAATGACTGATATCTTATACGTTACAATCGGAACTACGTTGAGGTCGAACAAGCTGAGAGCGGTTGCAAGGGAAAAGCGATGAGGGATTTGCTAGGCCGACACAACCTTCCCACATCTTTCCGTGACGTGCGCAGCGCATTTTTGCCGTTCGTAGAGAAGAGCAACCCCAAATACGGAAATATGTTTAAGTATGCGAGAGGTCGCTGTTTTGTCTTCCTTATTGGACTTCATCGTCTCCATTTTATGGTCAAGTTTACGGTCATTCCCAAATTTGTGACTGCCGCGTGGAGCCAACCTAGAACTTGTTGCACTTGGAACCTCTTTGGCCCGTATATTACTAAATCACTACATACAAGATGGTTTCGACTAATTTTCTCGGCTTTCTTATTTGATCAGGAAAGCCATTCAACAAGATGGGGAGCAGGAGTGGGCTTAGGTCGCTCCTACGAGCCAGACAAGCTGTCTGTGTGAAAAGCGGCTGCGATGCCACTTCGTCGTCGACGATTATTCTGTTGTCCCGTATAATCGCAGCGAGAAACTTAAGCACATTCATAGGGACATCGACCTCAGCCAACGTGAGCATGATTTTATTTTTGCACGCCAAGCCAAAGATTGCCTTGAAGTCAAGGAATACCACGTCTTGCGCAGCGTGGCCAGTGCTTTCTTGATGTCAACCATCATGATCCTGCATCTTGTTTTTGTAAAGTACCCTCTTTGGAACCCGTTGAGATAGCGTGTACCCTTTTTAAGCAGCTGTCCAGGTTCTTAATCAGCAAACCAGTGAGCAGCTTATAACAAACATTTTTCTTCGCCATTCTTTGTCATGATGACGGCGCTGATTTACTGTCTTTCTGTATAAGGATCACTAGCTGGGTAACCTCTCTTTTACTGCGCTGGAAGTGTACCACTATATAAACATTTAATAAATAGTGCCGTCCAGATACTCGTTGCATACCCTATCTCAACCAGCGGCTTTCTTATTGCGTAGGCTTCTAAGAGACTGTACCATTATCTTGTTGAAAAATATCGCGCTGCATTCGGATTTCCTCTCCTCACATTGCAGCGAAAACTGCAGGGCACCGTGCGTGACATCGTCGACAAGTGATTCATGAGATGAGGGTTTAATATGGTAAAGCGCCGAACTGTCGTGATGCGTTAGTGACACGTATAACTGACGTTTTGAATCAAACAAGTTTCCAGCCGTTCAAACTATTATTGCCTTTGTAATGCATATGCTTTTCGATAGATAGCCTGAAAAATGGGGGCTGAAGGGTAGAATTCGAAACGTTAGGCACAGGGAAAACTTTGTGGATGTGGTCTAGGAGCTAGTCTGCATCTAAGTTGGCGTTTGACGGTCCGCGCAGGTGGAATGTAGACAGCGAGATCTATTATCATAGGTATGTGAGCACGATTGCTTGCTTCCTGTGACAGGAAATGATATTCGCCCTGAAACTTTCTTTAACCCTGGCTACACTCGTCGGAAATATTTCGGTGACCGAATTTCCTGCATATCATAGGAAAGTCGGCGTTAAGGTAGGATTAAGTTCCCAGCAAGCCCGCGAACATGTCTAGAAGGGCGTAGTACGGTTCGAGTTCGTCTGGTTGACGCGGACGTTAAGGTCACCGGTAATAAGCAACGAAGAGGTAGAATGGGGAGACAGCGCTTCCAGACCAGTGGCGAATTTTTCTAGTGCTGTGTCCGTTGAGTCCGAATCAGTCTATCGGACATAGGTTTATGCAAGACGTAATCGCTGGTCACGCGAAATAATCACGCTACTCTCTACTAGGCGTGAAATCGCTTGTACTATGATCGTAGGAAGCTCATCCTAAAATGATCCACTAGGGCCGCCTGGCTCGTTGCTTTTCGTTGCAAGGCAGTGCACAGAATAGAAACGGAGTAAGCAAGAAGGCTAATTGCCCAAGTCTTCGTTTGTACAAAATTATCTACACAGTCCAGAGGTTTCGACGAGAAAAGCGCCAGAATTACAGCCCCCTCACAGTTCCACTGTGTAAGTCTTAGCGTCTAGGTCTGATCTCGCTGCGAGTTCCGTGATCGACTTCGCAAGCGACTGCGGTGATTCGCGGTATCGCGTACAGGAATTGGCTTTCTAGTCGTTGATGCTGCTAGCACTTGGCTTATGAAGTCCTCGACGCGTCGGCTGTAGTCCAGCTGTTCGGCTTGATACTTTCTTTCTAAACAACGGTTCTTCAACGGTGAGTTTGCTTGGTGGTGACTTGCTCTTTCGAGGTAGACTCAACTGCTGGAACGTTTGGCTCTAAGAGTCCGGTTGAGCTGGTTGGGTTTGCTGCTTAAGCCCCCTCGCACTGATCTCATCGATGGTCTTTGGGTGAACATCTTGTTTCTCATGACTCTCTCGGTTGTCAGGATTGTCACGCCTAACTTTTTTCTCATGGCAGTGTTGCAGGCAATCTTCTCGGCCACTTCACTTCTATAGCTGTACCGATCACGCTCAACGACCGGGCGCTGTTATACAGAGAGCGGTAAAGCCGAAAATTTCGTATATTCTTGACCTGCTTTTTTCGCAATAATATAACTTGCCGCTTTGCAGTCCTAGCCTAAGAAGCGAACAGAAAGCACACGAACTTCTGACTCGGAAGTTGAGGTGATTAACACCTTTGAAAAACTCTCCACCTTGCCGACATGTCTGTCCTTTTCAAATTCCATGCATTCATAATAACCAGTCTGTAAAAACACTGCAACTGACTCATCGTTGCTTATAATATACTTCTCTGCTTCACACGCTACATTGTCGATAACGATTTTTAGCGCCATACGAGTAGTCACTAACGATTTCTAAGGAAGAATCCTTCTCAGAGCGGGCCCGATAGGCTGCACAAGGTTGTCGCCCATTACTAGCGCCGTTTTTTGTGGCGAAGGAGGGGTCGGGTTGTTCGAAGGTCTGTCGGATATGTATTGTTCTATTTCACTTTTAGCCACCGTTCCCAGTGCTAAATTTTTTTGTTTCGCTTGAAAATTTGAGATTTGATTTATCATTTATGTGAAATAGAAAAGCCAAAAGACTTAATGATTTATTCTTCAGCGCACATGTCTGAGCATTTCAGAATCCCGTTAATCAGTCTGATGTTAGCACTAAGCATACTCTACAACGCTATTTCCTAGACAAGTCGATTGTTGTTGTCGACAAGCCTCATCACTAGCCTTAGAGGCTGCATGTCTTACTCAGTTACATTTTGAACAGCACACATAAACGTTGTGTACACTTTTGCATTTCGCTCAAACGTTCACACTGCCTAGCCGCGATGAATGCGATGGGGAAAGTGGCCTTTTTCGAGAATTTGAGAGACATCGGCAAACGTAGACTGTATATCGCCGATTGCTTCTCTTGTTGTTTTTAAATTTAAAGGACCATCTGTACATCTGGCTTGCATTTGTTGGTTCTGATAATGTTACACCTGAGGTGACGCGATATCAGTTCTCATCAATATAATAGCTGAAACTTTCATTATGTGATAGAGTAAAGGAAAAGGGTATATTTGCAGTGGAAATTACATAGTGTTGTAATCATGAGACGGGTGTGAGTTTAAAGATATTTTTACTTTTCTAAGACACTCCATGATGCTCTTGATGGCGCGCCTTATGATGTTTGACATATTTGCTCCCCATACAAAAGATTCATAAGCAGAATCCGTGATCACAGTTTTTTTTTTTCAAAAATTGATACATATCTTGCACAAACCTCAGAAACAAATCAGAAATTGCGATTTGGCTTAGTGTCTTCATAAGATGATTTCTTTTTTGGTAGTTAATGTCAAATCATTTATTAACACTTTAGACGGAGATTATACGTTACGCGTACGTACATTTACGTTATATAAATGCGTTATCGGTTTAATAGGTCCCTCTTTCAGTCTTACACTGCGTACATGATCGCCATCGCCAATAATGCAGTTAACATGGAAACGCTACTGACGAAGTTGAGTGACGGTGAGCCGCTAGGAATGGGTCTGGCGGACAAGTTGCGCGAGCTAAAGGATAACTCTCTCGACTATCTATGCGAAGAAGTGCTCACTGATATAAAGGTTCTTATGCCGGATATTATGACACGTAAATGGCTCACAAGGGAAGCGCAAACAATAGGTAAACTATCTGATACATTAACGAACTTGTATCTGTTTTATTATGGCGGTCTATTTGCCATATATTTTATTGCTTTATTGAGCGAATGGTCTGCTGCATTATGCCGGATATCTAGGTAACTGCCGGATATAACTTATTTTTGTTATGTTTCTGTATTCGGCAGCTCAAATTTCTATTCCTTTAAATACTTTTTATTCCTTTAAATATGCAGTGAAAGCGAGCAGCGATTACGATCCTAGAATAGTTAGAAGCATCATCATAGACAATACAAATTTAGCTTCCTTAAATTGGTTGGGACAACTTAACCAATTTAGTCCAAAAGAGTCCAGTTTTATTATTCAAGTTATTTTCTATGTCACTAATTAGTTTCAAAGGTGCGGCCATAATAGGTTTTTGTGCATTGTTTGGATAAATTTTTCAGAAACGGTAACGGTAACGTTGGCGGATTATGGAGGCGACTATACGGCGTTAATTGAATATCATACACTTATCGGCAAGATAGAAAAAGAGGTCGCCGCAAGTTATGTAAAGGCAATTTGCGAAAAGAGAATGTCATTCCGAAACTATGAAGAACGAAGAGCTGCTGCAGAGCTGATTCTGAGTGATACCGAAAAGGTTCGTTAACCTGAACCATTTGGTTCGATAAACCATCACATTTTGGTTGAAAAATCTGACATCATCAAGTGAAAGCCATGCTTCGACTAACAGCTCATTAATAGAAGATAAGTGGACCACTCATTTATCTACAATTTCAGTATATAATATTAGTAAAAAGAAACATATATTGAGGCAAACAATAGGGCAATAGTAACTTGAGTGCTCTGTTAGGATAGAAAATCGTATGCAAAATCAAGGTGACGTTTTTTTGGTTTGCAGCTTAAAAAACAGTTTGCAGATTTATATAAAAAAAAGCCCTTAGGGGAAGAAAAGGAAGAGGAGTCAAAATTGGACGTTTTGAAGCTTATGGCTGAAGTTCTCAAGATGAAGGACAGCTCACTCCTATCACTAGAAATGAACGGGTACGGTATCATAGTTAGAAGTGGTCAAGTATTTATGGATAGAAAAATATACATTCATTGAGAACTCATACCTGCAGTGATCTGACCACCTTTGTTTATAAAAAAACAGAATCATTACTGATATAGCTTACTTCCTCATTATGGAGTAAACGGTGATCTCTAAATGTACGTAATAGAACACAGAGGCTTTATAACTATGTTACTTAGATCTAATTTCTATGTTCAATTCCGTTTCTACTACAGATTGGTTAAGAAATTCCCCGAAGTATCTGCTGATGAACTGCTGTCTCTGTTGGACCTACGTGGTGACATTTCGAGAGTCGATGCTCGCCAGCTTATCATCGACCTTAAGCCGGGTGCGGCAACAGACCGAAATATATTTTCCAACCTTTTGCCTCTTTAAGCGTCATGCATATGTAGCATTGTTACAAAAATCGGCCAATTTTTCTAATGGAAAGTGCTAGCTAAAACTAACCTACCTAAAATTTGATTGATCCGAATATGCAAATTTATCCAATTTGATGGAAACAAGCTGTTTTTTTGATAAATAACCATCGAGTTCGAACTGCGCGACAAGCGGCAATTACTAAAACAGACCAAAAGGAGTTTAAACCCATGGATTTAGTTATTACAATTTTGTCATTACTTCTGTCTTTAAGTAACTGTCTTTAAGTGCGACTTTGTATTTCGGAAGCTTTCTTTATAGGCTAGAGGACTGTACCAGATCTGTCAGAAGAAAAACACGAAAGCGGTGAACGAAAGAGCTACCCCTTTTTAATACGCTCTTCTCGTTCAGTTCATGTACCGCGACATTAAAACAATTTTGCTATGTGAAAGGCTTTACGCCAAAAGAAATTACGTCACTTGTGGTAATTTAATAATATATGATGTAATCCATAACCGTAGTAGGTCAGGTATTCTAATGCTGATGTCAAGTCTAAATAAAAGCTTTCACTGAAGTTTAATCACTTGCTTTTTATTGGGTAAAAGCGGGGCACATTGGGTGAACCTTTATTCCAACTATGTGTAATACAATGGTTGATATCTCCTAAACTAACGAATGCTAAGTGAATATATATCTGTGTTTATACGATATGACTTTAATACTATAAATCATAATAGGCAACGCTGTTTGCGAGCCTACATACGCTCGGATCTGGTTTCATCTGTAAAAACTTTTTATTTCGTCACTGATCGTCCTCGCTGTAATCGACGCAACTACAGATTGCCGTAGTAAAATCAGTATAAACAATTGTTACTACTTGAAAGGATGCAAGCACTATATAGATTAATTTCAACCGAACTTTTGTTAGCATAGCTGGTATCGCTGTTCATGTTTCAGTAATTTCGGGCTGAATTGATCTTTCCTTTATCTATCCAAAAAAAAGAGTAATGTCTATCTAAAATCTAGGCTTTCGGCTCTGCTCTGAGACATAACATTATCACGAATATTATGAATATAAGTGATGCACTATACTAAAGGCAATTTATGACAAGATATATATCTCGATGGCTCAATAAAATCTACAACATTTCTGAAAAAGTAGGCTTTATTTCTTGTGTGTTTCCGCGTCTACGATAATTCACTTAGTCTGTCTACATCTGGCGCAGTTTGTAAAAGTAAATCGCTATATTATTATTGCGTTTTGAAAAAGTTGATAAAAGTCGGTGTGCACCGCTCTTTTTCGATCTGAAATTAATGAGGATGTTGTAATTTAGTTGCAACCAAATGCACTAGCGGACCTCGCCGCAGACTTATTAGTTTAAGAACTGTGGAATGAAGGACTTAACGTAAAAGGAACGGTATATGATTGAGTACAATATGAGTTCAGCGAGAGAGAGAGAGAGAGGGGGGGGGGGGGAGCAGAGATTAAGAAGCGGCAGATCTAATGCAGACTCGCGTAACTTATGTACATTGCTACCAGATATAGAACGTATGAGTGATGACTGGACTGATGTTGAGCGCTACTGTTAATTCGGCGTATGTTTTCTAGAAAACTACTGAGGTACTGAACCGATATCATCAAAAGGAGGTTGTGAATACCATACAGTACATGTCTATTAGCTCTATAGAACCGAGCTACCTGAGCGTAACACATTTCGCAGGTAGAACTTTGTATCACGCTAGACCACTAAAGGTTTAGATTTTTGCGACCAGATTATACGATGTGGGCACCAGTGCTGAAGCAAGGACTGCAAGTGAAATTCGGCCACAAAGGAGTAGTATCGGCTAAAGGAACGCTAAGCGGCAATAAAAGCCAAATGTATGCTGTACAGGAAGCAAGCGGCCATACAGTTTGAAGTCGCGTGAGCCGGGCCGTAGAGATCTCATTAAGAGCATCCGACGACGGACGAGAGGGGCAAAGGTATGAAAACTGTTGGTGGCCAGAGACCTCGGTACGCAGTCGTTGGAGGGGGATGCCCAAGCCGAACATTTGCAAATTTGTATCTAGTAACGTGAACTTTCAATTAAATTTTGTAACCAGTTATTAACAAACTATTGAATGGTCGAAGTCGCACAAAACTGAATATTTGTGAGAGTGAGGTAAATGATTACTTATTAGTTCAACAATACGCACTACAACGTTTCCTTTTTCTCTAGCCTGATCCTTATTGGAGCAACAACGATCACACTCCAATTATATACACACGTAATACTGTCGCCTTCGCACGAACGTTCGAAAAATGTCTGTAAAAGTTTCCGCGTCATTCTAATTTTCTAACAAAGTTCTAATTATCGATTACCAAAATAGATTTTCGTTGTCACTGCTCGACTGAATAGCTTTAACCAAGTCTCGACATTATTAATGATATCGAAATTTCGCTTTTAAGAAGATTCATTATTACCTGTATCTGTTGCTAGTTCACTACTTTACGTATTATTCCTGTGTGCCATGCCTACAATGAACTCTTTAATAAAGTAGATAAATAAATTAGACCCATTATTTTCTCGCCAACATTATATCATTAAAAGTACAACAATAACTATTGTTGCACCACTAAAAGCCTGGGTTTTTGTTAATTACTGATTTCTTGCGCTTGCCTTCAAATAGTGTCATCTCGTAGTATCGTTTTTTTGCACGCTTGATGTCGAGGTCCCTTGGACTATGCACGGAGCTCACAGGCCAGCCCTAGCGAGCGTCCCATTTGGTTACTTGGGTGCCTCCACAATATAAGCAAGGCGAATTTAGACATTTGGGCCGTCAGCTATGAGAGAAGGGGAGTTTTTTTTACTTCTCTTGCTATTTATAAGCACATCTGAGAGAACTGTGAAATCTCTTGAGAAAAGCCTTTGCCTCTCCTATCGAAAAAATGGGGAGATAATGAAAACACAAATGACGGTTTGGCGATGTCTAGACTTATTACCGGGCCAATCGTTTGGAAATAAAAGCATATGTGCATACTAAATTTTCAGGCTAGTGCAGTATGCGCAAAAGTATACAGGTATAAAAAGATGATGCCTGAAGCCATGTGGAAAACTTGTTAATTCCAGAAGGAAATTATCGAAGCAAGGTGCAAATCCAGACTTTGAAGTGCGGCTGTAGTATGAAAAACGGGAACAGTTTTAAATTGCTTTGGTTAATCGATTGGTTTAGGTCTTGAAGGTAAAAATACGAACAGAAGATGTTTTGTATGCATAGGTCTTTCTCTTTTCCTTAAGGTCCCCAACATTTGTCAATGTGTATTTGTTAAGCTTTACCTTTGCGTTATTAATGCCTGTACCAATAGAGCACGAACTCACTGTTAGGAATAGTGTGGTTCGATTTCTTATTTATTGCGCTAGTTATATATTCTATCAAAGGATAACCAGGTGCCCCTGAAATATGAAAATCGGCTAGGTCGAATTTCGCAATTATTTGTAAGGTCTTACTCATGCCCGAAGTAGGCTGTAGGCAGAAAGATTAGTTTAAGTTAGAGAAGACGGTGCTTTATGTAGATTGCCCTTGTCAAGTCTCGTAGATACAAATAAGAATTTTAAGCATACAAAGCAATAGTTTTTAGTTATTTGTAATGATAAAGTAAGTGCGGATAAATTAATAGAACTCAAGTTCAATCCTGTCAAGCGTTACCTTTTAAACGACTCTGAGACTTTTTTTTATTTTGTGCGAAACTGTAGTACATCGCATAACGTTCCTCGTAAATGGCCAATCTATTTCGGCCACAGGGTTAAACTACTTCCTAAGATAAGGCATTTTCGACATAGTGTGCCGTAAGGTCTTCCCTACCTTAATTACTCAAATCCTTCAGTAATTTGCTGTTGTCGGTTTTAACGCGCGTATCTCGCGGCAAGTGAGGCATCAGCTGGCTGCGAAACATTAAAGGGTAAGCATTGGAAATCTGTCATGCTGGATGTAACCAGCAGAGCGCTTGACTAGAGATAAAGTGATGCTTGGGATCCCGTAAACATGGTCCGCGCGGTGAACAAGTTATTTCTGCAAATGCTGATTGACCTAAGTGTCTCTTAATAAAGCAGATATTAAAGCAAATATCCTCCAACAATAGAGCTAATTACCCGTCTTACAAAAAAAGGAATAGCAACCCTTTGGAATATTCATGTTCCATATCCATTGGTTTTCAAAGCTGTGACCAGCTGAACTTCTATTTTGTGCGATAATAAAGCTTTGAAGGGAAGAAATCAACTGAGCCGAAGCTAAGAGATAACATTTCATTTGACTCGTTTTCTTTCCTTTTGTTCGAGCCGATTTGTGTTATTTTGGCATAAAAGGCTATTTCAAGTAGTAACATTTCGAAAAGCTTTGCTTTTATGTACCAGCGATGGCCATATTTACTCAAAATTAGTACATTACCAAACAAACATCGTCTAAATTTGCACCTTAATACTCGGAGGTACCACTGGTGTTGAAAGGCAGCTGTGTGCATTGAAGGACGTTCGTGGATCGGAACAACCCTCCAGAGAAAAACGACGACGTTGACTGGCCACAATGTAACGTAATCCGCAAAAATTCGAGTAAAAGCTAGTGTTTTCCTAAATAATATGTTGCTAAAATCCTGGAAGTGACCATTAGTAAAACAAACACGATAAGACTCAATTATGATGCATTCAGCGGAGAAGAGATTTACTGCTTATAGACACCTTCAAGTTAACTTCGCTTTCGAACCTGTGACCGCTGTTGCTAGATAATATAGCAATCGGTTTTCACGCAGACATACACAGGTCACCGTGTTCGTCATTCGGTGTGACTGTGCATAGTCTAGTTTCGTCAGGTTTACTTGCCTGTTACCGAATTCTATTTCATAGTCTAAATAATGCGAGTGTATCGTCGTTTTTTTAACAATTATCGCAACATCCGTCCGAGTCACAGCTGTAAATTTTACTAGACGATTCCAGGGTACGCTTGAATTCAATTGTTTCACGTCCAAAGTTACAGAGTCATGATATGGGTTTTATGTATCTAGCTTGTAATGGAATAAATACATAATACAGGATATTGATTGCCACAATTAGAGCAAACTGTTCTCGAGATAAGAGAGAAAGCTGAATGGAGGAGGTAGAAAAAGCAAACTGCACAGGCGTTTAGTTTATGTAATATTATTCTTTTGATCAATCTGTTGTTTATTATATGCATTACATCTAGTGATATGTTGCGGACTATTTCAAATTTCAAAGGTAACTAACTTTGTTTCAATCTACTGTTAATAGTAAATGCCGCTTTTATATACAAAGAGAAAGAACTACCAGCAAGAAACAAATGCTCATGGCTGAGGAAATAATAACTGAAACCAACGAGTGCATCTGAGTATATTTTCACTAAATGATTTTTAAAGTCATCGAAATATTGATCGCTTTATATTGATTAACGATTGAGCTCATTTTGCTATCCGGAAAACCTACATTTCCAACACGCCAGCAGATTATTAATTATTATCTTGTGAAGCTTATTTTATATTCACATCGTATTGTTCTTATGATGCGCCGACCTTGAGAGATAAACACAAACGTATAAAGGAAAGACACCCAACATAAGGCATCGTAAATGACAGTCAAATTTAAATAGATGATGTCTTTTTATTTTGAAATGGTGAGTAAACTTGACTAAGGAGCAGCAGTCATCTGTAAAGGCAAAGCTCGCCGTTGTCACTTATTTTCCTCGAACCGAATTGTGATCTTCAAGAAATTGGTAAGCTTTCTGGCTCGAAGGGACAGACAGATCGTGGAATGGTTGGTGATAAAACCGATAAAAGCATTTGACGGTTTAAATTAATAGAACTGGTTCACTCCGAGAAAAAAGTCGTCCCCAATATGGGAAGTGCCGCTCCCAAAATCGGCAATTCGCAAATTTGCCACCACGTTACTTCGCGAACGCTGGGCGAGACCGTTGTGGAAGATCCATCGACAAACACTACTGATTGTACCGGTTATTTGAGCTACTTTAAAACACTTGTGCTTTGTTTGATTGTGGTGATCCTGCACCGAAAAGGCTACGA